CCTTAAGATAAAAGGTTGGGAACTACTGCATTAGATTATGAATACCCCTCCTTCTCTCTCTGTCATCTACACTCACACAACCACATGGTCGCATGTTTGAAACCTCCTACAGGATGTGAGACAACCATAGACGTACTTCCACGTAGTTCTCAGCAGCTTGAATCATCACCGTGTAGCCACAAAGGCTGATACAGACACTGCAAACAGCTTGATTTCCCTTTACAATGCACTACACAAGAGCCACCCACTCTGTAGGCTTTGTGGTGAGGGTGGGTGGAAGACGTGCCGTCACTCCTTGAGCCTTCAACGTGACCATATGAAAACTCACAAAAGGTTAGCGTACAGTGTGGCATTTAATGGCACGGGATACAGAAGTATAGTAGGCATTGCCCAACATTAGAGATGTTATTTTTAGTATGAAAACACACAACCATAAAACCCACAAGGCTTAATATGAAGATACAGGAAAGTATTCTCCGCCCAAAATGTTCATGTTTCATTGGCTGGAGGGGAACTCCACTAAATTTTCCACAGCACGGTCTGTTTACAGGTTGTGTGCAGCATGACTGCATGCGGGGAAAAGATGTTTGAAGCATACTCTGTATTAGAAAGATGAACGACACAGCTCCTCAAACATGAAGCCAAAACATCTTCACTGCCCCCTGGTGGCTGGCTGCAGTATAGGCCATAAACCCCGCCCCCTTATGTTAGCAGATGGGACATGGGCCAAATTAATCAATCAAAGTACTTCTTATTCCCAAAAATGGTTTCGGTAATTTACTGATGTATGTTCAAGTGTTCATGTTTCTGATAAGTTTGGTTATAATTAGTTATTTGATACTCTGAAGATGAGGCTTGATGCCATGATTAACAGCTGTGTGTGCCAGTCGATGTGCTCATGATCAATTGCGCTCTTTGAGTTTACCAGACCTGCCCGCTCCTCATCTCTGCTTGCTGCTAGCAGCCCGAAGCTACATTAACTGCTATTAGCGCAAGGGCAGAGTCACACATAAGTAAATGAATGTTGTTGACCATGAAGCAATATTCATGTTGAATTTTGACTCACACGGAGAGCTAGCTTGCTGGCTAGTGTTAGCTAGCTTGCTAATAAATACCACAAAATATGATGTTATTGGTACATTTTCTATTATCATATGTTCCATGTCTGTCTTCTTCATTGCCGCCAAGCACAGTCTCTTATGTCGCACAGTATTTTTCATTGCCAGTATCATACAATAGCCTGGTAGTTTTCAAACTTTTTGTGCCCAAGGCACACCAAAGGGCAAGCCAAACTCTCATGCACACCTGTATTTGTATCTGTGCACAATAGCTTCTATAACGTGTGTTATCGCTCTTATCATCACATAAGACAGTAAAAATAAGGAAAATTATAGCTGCTGCGCAGCGATGAGTCGGGTCCGGGCATTTTTAAGCAATTCTGAGCAACCTCTGGAACCTAAGACGGTCATCTACTGCTCTGAGCTAATTGGCAAGTAGCAACTCAACAGTGGCTTCACAAATTGAGTAAGCCATTCACTGTTGTGTAGGAAAGCAGCCATCCGTGCATGGCAGATTTGAAACCACTGTAAAAAATTCAGTTATTAAGACAAAAATCTGAAAATACACATATTGCATCTAGACAGCATGGAGATGTTGTAACAATGATTGATTTGCTCCATTAGTGAAAAAGTGATGTTTAAAATTGCCATTTTTACATTGACTCTAATCATTCACATTAGAGCAAAATTCAAAATGCTGTCAAAAATTCAGTTTTTGAGATACAATTCTGAAATTTGCCACACATCATCTACCATGACTCTAGAATTTTGTCATTTTTTTCATGAACATTGAAGATTTATTTAGCAAGAATTTGCATGTATATGTTTACAGTACAGTTTACAGTCAAACATTTTGATGCACTGTGCACTATTGGCTTGAGTTTACAGCTGAGGATATCTGGCATGAGACTGGACCTTTGTGCAAAGTTTGGTGAGTTTTCACCCATGGGAAGTATGATTTCCTCGGAAGAAGAAAGAAGAAAGAAGAAAGAAGAAGAATACCTAGGATTACAATAGTGTCCTGGCAGCTTAGCTGCCCGGACCCTAAAAAGACTGGTAGCTTTCATGATACTGTCTACACTTTTCTTTCAGCGGTAGATCGTCTTCGCTGTTGCTTTGTTGTAATTTGCTCCATACACTAAAGCGATCCATTGTCCCCATCACGGCTTTCTTCCTTTAAATGTTATCATCCCTCACACTGGCACACACCTATAATTCCCATGTGCAAACGCTGCTTTGCTACCCGGAAGCTAATGTTTTATTCACCACTTTGCTCGCATTGAATGGAAATGATTGGGAGAAGAATATTTGCCAAGGTAACATCACACAATCATAACCCACTGAACTGTTGGTGGCCCAGATACATTGTGAGTAATGTAGGTACCAGTTTTTGACAAGGAAGAAGAACGTGTGCGATTAAAAAAACGACACTGACTATCCATCGTGAAAATGACAATGTTACAGGAGTGCAGTGCCAGATTGGTTGAGTACTCTATTAAAACAAAGAGGTGTATTTACAAGGATGGCATGCGGTGGCACCACCCAGAAATAGGATATTCAGTTTTATAGCAACAGAAAAAAGACACTTTAATGTCAAAGTGAAGACAAATGCAACAGATATGTAGGTCTGTATGTACTATGCACAAAGGATATGTGTTATCTATAATCAGTTGGTGGCGTGTTGTTCACTGACTGAAGGTATTTCTACAAAAAGAGAGGGTTTGGTTAGTGTGTTGTTTATATTTCTTTGAAACCACCCACTGACTTCCTGGATCACTGACATTTACTGAAAGTATCTACAGGGACTGTTTCCAGTGTGCAATATCTGCATAGCACTTCAACAACTGCCCAGACTCAGTTTATTAGTTTAATTATACAAGAGCCAACTTCATTTAGAAAATCTTTATTCACACACTCATAATAATACAGGGTATTATAGTGCAAAATCAAAGAGTAGACAAAACAGAGAACAAATACCTGAGACAAAATAAATGACAGAAACAATACGAGTACAATAAAAGTGACATACTAACTCCAGGAACTTAAATACTCTACTTAAGTACAATTTTGAGGCACTTGTTCTCAGTTTGAGTATTTCCATTTTATGGCACTTAATACTTCTACTTTACTGCATTTCAGAGGGAAACACACTTTTTACTATATATATGAAAATATTCATGATGAATTTACAAAAATGCAACACACTGTCATCAAATCAAGGGTTTACATCCTTTCTGGGGCTTCTTGTCACATTTCAGATGTCCTGGAGATATTAGTTCTAACAAAGGGACACTTCCTCTCTAAACCTTTCAGATTTCATTTGAATAAATGTTCAAATTATCCAGTATTTCACACACAAAGAAATCAAAGATTATAGAGAAAAGTCCAAAAACTGACAACAGATTTGCGTCACTGTTTGTTTGTTTTTTTATTCATATTTCCGACCCCTTAATAATCTCACAACCCCTATGATTTATCTGGTGACCCTCTAGGACTAAATTAACTGACTGCACAAACAAAATTAAACAAGCTCCGCTTCGGCCAGCAATAACAGTTAAATGCTGCTTACACACTGATACATATATATTAACAATCTAATTAAAGTATGTGATGTATGATAAAACATATAATATCCTTTTTTTTTGCAGAGTACTTTTACATTTCACATAGTTTGACATTTTTCTGCTATACTTCTGTACTTTTCAGGACTTAAACTTGTCATGGAGTATTTTTTACATTGTTGTATTGATGCTCATGTGTGACTGAAGGGTCACAATACCTTGTCCACCACTGTTTTTAGACAGGAAACAACAGTTGAAGTATTCCAGCAGAGGGCGCTGTCAACAGACTCAATCAGGTGGAACAATTAAAAGCATTTTCCAAGTTTCAGTCCCACAGTGCCAGACAGATACCAGACACCATACCAGAGATTCGAGGGCCTCTGTATCTGATTTCTCAGTGAAACATCAGTGAGTACAAATAACGAGGGCATGCTTTCATAACTCCTCTGACTGAAGTGAACTGGGGAAAGTCTCTCCGGTGAGGTATAAACAACATGAAAGTCTTCACATTTAAAACATCAATCTTTCCAACGGCTGAAGCGAAAACATGACAGGAAGTATCTCTCAGTGGGAAAAAGAGGCACATTTAACTCCACATGGGGAACTCCCCCAACCCCACACACCAAGCATGTTTTTTTTAAAAACTCCTCTACCTTTACAGATCTGCTACCGCAACCCGGCTACCGGTGGAACAGAAATGAATAAACAAAACATGCTAAAAATAGAGACCGAAAGTCTGCATGAAGAGAGTAAAATGTTTTTCTTTTCCAGTAGTTTTTTTGTTTGAATAAGTGGTACTTATTGTCACTACCTATAGCCACCTGCTCATACTGTATATTTCTCAGAAACCTGTCACTCGCCCCATTATTTCACATTATATAACACTATAGGGCTTTAAAAAGCAGCAAAACATATGTATATATGTGAATTCTAGCAAGAGTAAAAAAGACTGTTAACATTAAATACTGTAAGGTATTCAGTGGCATAGTTTCTGAGGTTATTATGAAAAGAATCTGCATATCCAAATTTGCAATAAATATTAAGGTTACACAGAAAGTACATTTTTTGAGATCTGAAGTAGTACTATTTAACTTTAAATTGATTTTCAAATGACAAAAAGTGAGGTACGATTTAAACAAATCTTTCACATGATTCTTCTGATATTCTATTAGAAAAGAACAAACAAAAGTCAAATATTGACTATACTGCAAATTACGAATACACCTGCTAAAATACAGATTCAGTAGATGTTTTTGTATGATGTATTTTCTGATTTAAAATCAACAGAGTATGGAAGAAATAAGTGATCAGTCTAAAATGATTCATATGATGATTAACTGATCTCACAATTCACAGTCAAAAGTTCACGAGTTTCACCTCATCACTCCACAGGATTCAGTTTGAGAGAGGACAGGCTGCCATCGCCACTTTCCTCAACCGGCCTCCGACACAATGAGTCCTTTTCTGAAAACAAACATTAAAGCATAAATTGAAAAGGTATCATTTACAACACATCCACAATTAATATCTATATTACCCGTCTTTTAAAAGAGCAGAGCAGGGGGCAGAGCCAAGAATAAAGGAACACAGGTGGGCAGGCAGTGACATAGTAAAAAACCAGTAAAAAAGAACAAAATGTTTCCTACAACAATGAAAAACGAAAGAATAATGTATTTCACTTTAGCGTGTGCATGAAGTTTAATGTTAAAAGGAATAATCTGGCAGGAAATATGCTTAATATATCTAATTTATATCTGTACAGCAAATATAAAAACGTTAGCTAGCAGCCTGTAGCTTAGCTTAGCTTAGCTTAGCTTAGCAGAAAGACAGGAACCAGGAGTCCAGGAGACAGACCCTGCTGGTTGACTGTGACTGTGGTGGGTTGCTGCAGCTAGCCAAGAAATAGCTTCTAACTCCCCATACAAACACAATGTATCATTTGTACACTTTGATTTTTGAATTATACAAACAAGATATAAGATGTCAGCTAGTAAGCTTTAGAAGTGCTGGTGGAACAGTACGTTGAGTTTGCTACCATAGAACAGATCGAGGCTGTTTCCTGCTGCTTCCAGTCTTTGTGCTAAGCTAAGCTAAGCTAAGCTAAGCTAAGCTAACTGGCTGTTGGCTGTAGCTTCATATTTAGCATACAGTAGGCTACAACTGTGAGCCAGTGTTAACAAAAACTATGACAAAAAATGTTCATCAATAACCACTTTGACGAAATGTATGTTTTTGTTGACAAGATAAGACGGGACTATAAATGGTTATCTGACAGTCAAAATGAGACGAGAGACGCAATGGTAAATTATTTTATGAAATGTATCCTGAAAATGCTTCAAACTAGGAAGCTGAAAAGAACCACACCCGCAATTATTTTCTAATGCCATAATGAGTGGTACGAGATCGGAGCACCAACAGTTTGGTGAACGGCAGTAAACGGTGCGTGGATGCTTTGCGAGCCAGCAAGACACTCACACTTAAGTTTTGAGCTTTAATTCCGCAGTAAGCAGCCGTGTGTGTCTGACTGTGACGGGTGGAGCTACTGAACAGATTTGTGGAGCTGTTAGTTGCAGTGCTGGCTGTTAGCAGCTAGCTCCACTTGTTAGCTACTGAACCGCAACAGAGTGAGCAGCCGCCAGCCACCAGACAAAGTCCAGTTTAAATCATAGACTCTGTGAGAAGCCCTGCAGACTTACATTGCAGATTTAGAGAGAATTCAGAGAATTCAAAGTTATTTTTCTGCCTCTTAACAGTGACTGTCATAAATCAGTTTACAGTGAACCTGGGTACAAATCCTAGCTGTCCAGTCGTCTCAAACTAGGTCTCAAAGTTTGAGATTTTGAGCTTTTCAAATGATGGTTAGTAAGTATGTCCTCATAAATCCTCCTTTAAACCTGCTATAAACTCTGCAGAAGAAATACAAGTTTATAAATGTGTAGCAATTATTTGCAGTTGTATAAAAAACATGTCTAAATGGAATTTCAACACTTGATACGACCTGTCACAATGATACCCTCTGATACCTGTATTAGCCTGATTAAATGAGTTCAAGGAGCAAAACATTTTGACTAAAATGTAATGACATTTCATCAACAATACTATAAATATGAAGACTAAAAATAACTAAAATGTGACTAAAACATTAAGCATTTTCAAAAATAGTTGCACAAAATTAATATTCTCATGCTAGTAGTAGCAACCTTCTCATAAAACTCCCAGCAAGAGACCAAATTTTAATCCTGCAACATACGTGGTACAGCTGGTTGAGAGGTAATGTTCAGCTTGCAGGTCACAGCGGTCAGTACGAGCAGTCCAATAATTCCCAATATGAGGAGGGTCATACCTGAACAAGAAAAGCAAGCAATACGTTACCTAATATTACTCATTATGAGGTTGTGTCATAAAAAGATAGCAGCAAATGTTCTACCTGGACCAATGTAGGCGGCTGTGTCTGGCGTGTGGGGAGGCTGCCCTTTGCTCGTTGAGGGGACTCTCTGTCCCCGAGCAGCTGTGGTGATGGAGGTGGGGGTGGTAGTCGGGGTAGTGGTGGTGGTAATTATCCTCGGAGTTGGAAGCTGGGTTGTTAAACGTGTAATTAGAGAACCAATTTTGTTTGATGTGGAGGTTGTATTGATGGAAGGGTTACTCTCCAAATCTGGATTACAGATGACATCTGCGGTGTTGCTTCCTGCAATTTTCTCTCCTGATTTACATCTAAAATGAAGCATAAAAGATACAGCTGTGAACTACTTTAGAATCTGGTGAAGTTACATTTTCATAATGCATGTACAGAGTTTTTAAAACACTGGAATACAGGAGACATACTCTTTCCATTTTTGACAGAGCGAGTTGATGCGTGTGCTGAAATATCCATGTTCACATTTTGAACATTCTGGCAAGAAAAAAAAGAATTATTGCAGAGACAATCTCTTCAATATGATGAATGCAGTGTTGTGTGATCCTTCTCCGTACCTCCGGATTTTAGTCCAAATCCAATTTCACATTTGCAAGTGGAAGAATCACTCTCCGCGGGAACGAATTCTCCACGGCACTGACATTTTGTGTTTGTCTCTTTCGTGCACGCCTCTTTAAGGGCACTTCCATAATCTACACACAAAACCAAAAAAAAAAATCAGATGAAATGGGCCACTTCCTTTTTGGCTCTGTTGAAAGATTCATTTGTAATTCTGTTGCCAGAATGTGTGAAATAACACAGTCTGGCTAAGTTGCTCAGCTACTGCTTACAGTATATTGTTCTATTTTATTGTATTGTATTTATTGTAAAGTACACCATACCAGAGCCTGAACACTTACTGCTATCACACTTTCTACATGGTTCGCAGATGTGGGAATCATTATCTTCAGGATTATAATATCCAGTGGGGCAGTCTTCACAAGGTTGTGCAGCTCCACCACGTGTTCGTCTTTGACCTTGATTTCAAGTTCAGAGGCACACGAAGATTAAGAGAAAGTTGTAAAGCCAAAAATGTCAGTATATTCTACAGCGTTATGCTGAATGAAGAGGAAAATTACAGCGCGGTACAAGAAAGTCATACTTTACCTTTTGGGCATTTCAGAGCATCCAAAACAACAATGAGCTGATAAAAAGTTAAAGTGACTATAAGCAGTTTGAGCAGAACCATGCTGAGTACTTCAGAGACGACAGGTGCTACTGAGCGTTTCCTTTGTGAAATAATGCAGAGTGTCTGACACCACAGATATGGGATTCCTGTCTTATATAAAGCTGACACCCACGTGTATTTTCATTCACGAGCCAGCCACTCAATCTTTGTCTATTTCAGATGGAATCCTTTAAGGTTTGGTGTTTGATGAGGACACTAATTAGCCCAAACTTACAATGTATTTTAATGACTTATGAATAAAACTTTGCAGTGAGAAGAAAAAGCATTAATGTAAGAAAAATAGTTTGTAAGCTAATGAGATACAGTTTGTGAGTGGCAGTTACAGCCTACATTATTCTGTCTATGTGTGCTGCTTCGGTCCCAGTTCTCTTGTACACAGTTACATATGATAACGTCACTTTTTCTATTTTAATTGTGTTTTTGACATTTTTTTTAACAATGTATGTGGACAGGAGTTTTTTTAGAGCAAATGGAGGGGAAAAGCCTGTTTACACGTGTGAGCTGGGCCTAATGCTGTGTTCACATGGAATCAGACAACGCTTTCTGGATGCATGCATGACAGTATGTTGCAAGAGTGACGCTGTATTGCTTACAAAGAATGGGCTAAAATATTTTGAATAAAATTATTTCATGTTTACTATTTTATGTCATTTTTCTTGTAATGTCTGGTAATTTGTCCAGATGGCCAGTGTTTTTGCCTTCTGTGGAGGAGCTTCGTAACATCCAGTTGTAAATCTAATTGCGGAGGACGACAAAAAACTTGAAAAAATATTCTAACTTTATCAGCAATGTTGTCTACCTTTAAAGCAGGATTTATAGCTGTGCGGCAGACCCTACGCTGTAGCCTACGCATGTTGCCTATGCCGTTGTGAGCATTTATACTTGTGCGGTGTTGTGTCTGTGTCACTCTGCAGTTACACCTCCGAAACACTAGTTGGCGACGGACGTTTCTGTGAAGTGCTGTAAAGTTTAGTTGATTCAAAACACACCCAAAAAACACATTAAATATGGCTTAAAAGAGACAATTTCAAACACAAGTACACAAATCGGCTTCACTATAACTCGCAGCATTCACAGACAAACCAAATGTCTTATACTAAACACGTTCTCCAAACAAATACAAAATGCTAACGTTAATAGCACAAGCCTATGGCATTTTACATTGTATAAATTAGCCTAGTAACGAGCGGAGATTTCCACTGCTCATATGAAGCCAGGATAAATCCCAAAGTATAAATTACACACAAGACTTAAAATGCTATTCTGTGGAGGCTTTATTGTCTTTTTTTATCTGCGAAATTGAAGTAAATAAAAGCTTTGTTTCCACTGAGGGAAATGGTTTCAGCTTACAAAAATAGACAGAAGGTCTGCGTCGCGGCGATGTGTCGTTACATTTCTGGGGAGGTGCACGTCAGGCTACGGCGTAGGCTACGGTGTAGGCTCTGCATCAACATGGAGCATATGCCATAGCTACGGCGTCGATTCAACACAGAAGTATAAATTCGGCATAACACTGCCAGTGTTCTCTCCCTGCCCCGCCTAATTTAACTGTCCTGCTCTCGTCCACTGAAATGATATTTACTTTACCATCTTCGTGATTCCATGTGAATGCAGCATTAGGACAGTAGGATTTTTAAATCAGCAGAAAATCTCACATTACTTTTTACAAAGCCTTTAGTCTCTCTTTTCTTTGTCAGAGTACTTTTTCTAAGGTCAGGAATGGACTTTGACACTCAACATTTTTTAATTGTCCTCATTTGCAATGTTGTGATTTGTTTAAAGTAGTTCTTTCTGTTTTAAACAATATACGTTAATGTATATTACAATAAATTGCAAACTTGTGTTTATCTACATAACAATATCCTTAAATTAGAAAGAACGTTTTATATAACATACATGCATGACATTTTAGTAAAGTGAATCAATTGTGGTTACACAATCTGCTAATTTGATTGTTCAAAAAGCCTTTACATGTCTGACTCAACTTGTAACTAAAATATATACTTTGGTGATGGATCTAATTCATTATGGCAACAGACATCAAAACTTAAAAAGTGACAGTCATTTTCCATCTTTGCAGGAGCAGCCTGCTCCATTGTAAATGTTTTTAGGAAACAGAACATTATCATCTATAACAGCTTAGAGCTATTTTAGCATGTTTATTAACCTTTATCTAGGTTTTTTTGTATTCTTTCAGGACTAATAGGGAAAAAAAATCTGTGGTTAAACTATCGGAAACTATGAAGCTTTATGCTTTTTTGACAGTAAGAACATGACATAGTACCTTTGCATATAAGTCAAAGAGCGAATGGAAATAACCACATGCATATGATCAACCTGCAAGATACAACCACACAAATGCTAGCTTGCTTCTGAAAAAACGGATGTTGAAAAATCCGCCTCTGCTCAAGTTTTAGCTGGCTGTCGTTTAGTGAAATGATGAAAAACATTTTAATAGAGCGTGGCAAAATTCTTAATGTGTTCTTTATCAAGAGACTGGTTGTCATGTTGACTCAATATTAACAAGAACTAATCTATAAAGATTAAAAGTAACGTACATGATGTGATGAGTCATGCTGAGCTGGCATCACTGAAATGAAGTTCATTTGATGGCAAGAGCTCAGAGTGAATTTCTATATTTGTCAATATGTTTATCAGAAGAGAGGCCCATTGTTTGTGTCTAAGTGACATCATAGAAGGTTGTCATCAGGCTGGTATGTCTAACCACACAGGAGATAAACTCCAAGACAAGTTTCATAACATTTCAAGGAAGCACAACTTTAAACACTACTACTGCTACTAGGGACAGTTGTAAAAAAAAAAAAAAAAATCAAAAATATATATTTTTCATCTTACCCGTAGTGCTCTTTATCAGTAGGAACAGGACAAATATGTCCAAAAATAGCCAAAAATGCCCATTACAAGTTTCCAGAACCCAGGGGGATGTCTTCAAGTCTCTTGATTTGTCCGACCAACAGTCTAAAACCCAAATAATTACAATTTATAGTCATGCAGCAAATCCTTACATTCGAGAAATAGAAACCAGAGTTTGGCATTGTTGCTTGACATTCAATTTAAAGGGATAGTTCACCTCCAAATAAAAAAACAAACATATTTTTCCTCTTACCTGTAGTGCTGTTTATCAGTCTAGATTGTTTTGGTGTAAGTTGCCGAGCGCTGGAGATACTTTCCATAGAGATGTCTGCCTTCTTTCAAATACAGTCAAACTAGATGGCACTCATCTTGTGGTGCTCAAAGCGCCAAAAAAAATACATTTTAAAAACTCAACAGCGATGTCTCTTTCCAGAAATCATAGCCTGGTTACTGGAGATCATCCACAGACCTTGTTGTGAGCAGATTCATGAAGGAACTATTTTCTTTCTGCTGAACTACACCCAGCAACTGTATCACTATGCAGAAGTAATGGACAAGGGGCTCGAGCTCATGGCAGCACGAGATAGAAACATTAATGGCGTCTTCAAGTTCATAGGCTTTATTCTGGATCATAACCTCCAAATATGACGTGACGTTAATTACACTGTGTCACCAGACTCTGTAGAGTTAAAAAATAATAATAAAAGTGTAAATTGTCCCACCCAAACAGGCGCAACAACTCTAACTGGGGAGTGGAGATGTCAAACAAGCACAGTCTGTACACGCACAAGCAATCATAAGAAGAGGGCTGATCAGGTAACATACTGTGTTGGTGGACCGTCAGTGTGTAGGGTTTTTATAATACATTCTACCATATATGCTTTCGCATGAACATACACTTTTGCATTCTCCACATTTTGCAGTAAGAAGAAGCATGTGGAATGAACGTTGTTTCCGCGAACACACAAACACATGAGACTGATAAGGTAATAAATGAGCAAGCATTGTGCGATCTTTTCATTTTCATTGCCTATACACAGAAAACTAAACCTATAGAGACCGGGACTGCACCCAGGTTGAGGTAACACAGAAATGAAAACTGAACATTTTGTGTGTCAGCATGATGAGTAAAATACAGATATACAGCTGAAAGAAAGGAGATAGACAGTAATTAGTGTCTAAGTCATTCAGGTTTTGTGCTCAGACTTGGCTTAGATACACCCAAATGAATGAGTCTACTATATGTATGGCTACAAGACACTTGATTTTGAGTCATAAATTCTCATCAATATATTTGAACTGCACAACAGTGACTGCAAAACTAATTTATACACTGAGCTAACGAAAGTCCTCAAAGGGTTTAGAAGTCCTTTAAATCTCAGTTTGCTTAGTTATTATTAAGATGAATTAAGATGCTTCAAAGAAGACAGTTCCAGTACAGTTGTAGTAAACTACCATCATTTGTAGATTTGTTGAGTCAACAAAGTGTTTTACCATAAATTTGACAAAACCATAAACTTTCTGTAAGGGAGGGGGGTCAAGTCTGATCATTTGTTGAATGACCTCGATGTGCCTAGCGGACCTCTCAATGAAATATCTTTTTCTTTTTTTTTTGCTCATGGACTCAAAATGTGTTGCCCTTCAGCTGTATAGTGTTAAAAGTTCTACAGAGCAGATGTTTCATGCTTACTAGAGGAGAAAGTAATGGGATTTTTAACAGATTTTTCTAGCTGCATGTTTCTAAAATCTATATTAAGGTCACCGTCTAAATGATGGTTGTCATGTAAGATCTCTTCACCCTCATCCTGCCAACATATTTAATAGACAGGGACTGCAGACTGGGGTCCCTGGGGACCCTAAGCATAAACTACAGTAAAGTAGAGCCATCATAAGAAAATGCTAACTTATTTCTTCTCAAAATACTATTAGATATGTAAGTAATGTCATCTGACAAAACAAAAAACATACAGATTATTGCTGTTTTGGAAAAGGTATTGTCAATTTTTATATTGTCTAAAATGAAAATATATATATATTTTCTTTGATACAAACTAGCTTTTAGCCTACTCTAAACACATTTCACCCTCCTTTTCCGAGCAGATTTTTGGACGCCTACAGCAGCAGGTGCAGTTTTCCTTGAATTGATTGATTAAATTTGATAGTCATAAAACATTTTATACATCTGATTTTAATGCCATCTTACCTCAGAGAAGGGCAGTATTTAGGGTCATCATCAGAGCATATGAGGAAACCTGTGTGCTGCAGCTGTCTGTCTCCTTAAGAGTGACTGACCTTAACTGAGTGATAAGTGCCTCTACCCCACCTGAGAGAGCGAGTGAGTGATGCACGATATTGGATTTTTTGCAGATATCTAATATATCGATATATAACAACTTATTTGGCCGATAACCGATACCAATATCGATATAACATCTTTTTTCCCCCACCTAATTTTAGCGATCATCGAGTCTCTTCTGTAGTGGAATTAACATCATATTATGCATGCATACTCTTATTGTGATGGCCCACCAGCAGATACAACACTTTTCAATGTACAGTGGTGGAAAAAAGTTTTCGGACACCCTTAAAATTTTACACAATCTCAAATATTATCATGAAATATTTGTGGAAAAATCTTTTTTGTGTTTCAAAAGGTGTGGCTGCATTAGACAGATATAAACAAATACAAATTGTATTTTTTTTGTTTATTGTTTACAAGAAAAACTAACAAAACTAAATTCTTGACAGTTTCAATATGTCAGTTCTCAACATTGTCATAGTCAACAAATAACAGAGTATGTGTTCAAAACTGAACAAAAAATAAATAAACCATCACATCATCAAATTAATATTTAGTAGTCCTGCCATTGGTACGTAGTAGAGCTCTAATCCTGGCTGGCATGTTCCCCACAAGCCTTTCACACTGTTGAGGGGTAATCTTGTCCCATTCTTCTTGAATTACTTCACTACTTCACTATTTCTTTGGTTTATGCTTTGAAACAGACCTTTCGATAATCCACCACAGATTTTCAATGGGGCTCATGTCCGGGGATTGAGCTGGCCACTCTAAGACCTGGATACTGTGCTCCTGCAGCCAAGTTCTACTGGCCTTGGATGTGTGGCAAGGGGCATTATCTTGTTGAAACATCCAGTTTTTACCTCGACGGAACAGTGCATGCGCAGAAGGGAGCATGTGGGTTTCGAGAATGGTACAATACTTGGTAGAGTTCAATGTGCCATCACAGACAGTGAGATGACCAACACCAGCAGCACTCATGCATCCCCAAACCATGATACTGCCTCCACCATGCTTGACAGTACGTACTGTACATGCTGGAGATAATGCTTCGCCTGGCCTTCTGCGTACCCTCACATTAGTAGGAGGAAGATAAAGCTGGAAACTGGACTCATCTGACCACAAAATCTTCTTCCAGTTCCTGGCTGTCCAGTTCTTGTGTGCCTGGGCCCAACGACGCCGGGCTAACCTCTGCCTCTCATTGATCAGGGGCTTCTTGATAGCCTTGTAGGACCTTAAGCCATGATCTAAAAGTCGGCCACGTACAATGCAGGTGGAACACTGGACGCCAGTTTGGTTTGAGCACTGCTGCTGAAGCTCCTGTGATGTCATTCGGCAGTTTTGCCTGCACATGCGGATCAGGATGTGGTCATTTCTTGCTGAAGAAACCCTTGGACGCCCAGATCTTGGTTTGTCTTCCAAGCTGTGGTTCATCTGTATTTCTGCAGAGTGTATCCAACTGCTGAAGGACTGCATCTGCACTTCCTGGCTATCTGGCGGCAGCTGTATCCTTCCTGGCTGAGAATATTTATCTTCAGGCGTGTTTCCTGCGTTAGGTTCCTTGTTTTAGCCATTTTTGTGTCTGAAGAACTTTCAAATGTGCTGGCTTTATGTAGACATGAAGCTTGGCAACAAAAATTGTATCTTTTAATAAAAAGAACAACCTTCATCACTGGTACCAAAATGACCCAATACTCAAAATTTCTTATGTATTTTTATGGAACCAATCAATTTTAAGTTTTTAATGGCTTTTTTTAGGATTTATTTAGTATTTTGGCTGTGACTGTACTAAAAGAAATTGCACTTGAAGACCTAAGAGTGATTCTTAATGCAATATTTCACAAATGCATGGGGTGTCCGAAAACTTCTTTCCACCACTGTATATCATATTCAAAATAAGAAAAAGCATGTTGGACGACTGATACTTCATTTTAAAGCTGATATTGGCTGATACCGAAGATGTGCTGATATTATCGTGCATCCCTACATTAAATTAGAACCCATGGCAAACATGAACTCAGTAAATAGTTCCCTCTTTTAAAACTGCATAAGAGAAATTTGGTGCTTTGGACTGGGGCCCCCAGGACCCCAATACATTGGTGCTTTTAAAAAGCAAAACAGAAACAAAAAACACAACGATATGATGTCATTAGGAACATACTGACTGACAAACTCATGACAAAGTGGAAGGATAGGATAAAGCACCTGTGAGATATGAAAATAATATACCCCTAGTCTGCACACAGGACGAGCTCTGATTCATGTTTCCTGTAGCAGCGACATTTGCTTGGAATACAAAAGAACTATGTGGTTAGCACAATGCTCAGTTACTGCGGTTGAGTACAGAGGGAAAAAAAACTGAAAAAATCCAAAGAAACATGCAGCACAGTAAAGACCAATTTTTGCATGAAGATATAATTCTTGCCCTGACTTTGAGGCTGAACCTGCACTCACACCTTTACTTATTTTTATGTCTTAGTTTTCTATATATATATATATTATTTATGTATGCCCTTTTTATTCATGTTTGAATGTTGAAAGTTGTTATATGCCATATTTCCTTTAAAATGCATTATGTAAAGCATTCTGAAACGAGTTACATAAATTAACTTTGGTTTGGTTTTCTGTCACAGTGAGATTAAATGCAAACTCCAAGTCACAGCACTGACTGTTGCCTCCTCAAAGGCAGCTGTTGCAGCTTTTATGTAATGAACTCTGCTGTTTCATAAAGTAGAGATAATACTCAAAACATAACTATGAATGGTTTCATTTATACTAAATGCCGTGAGCCAAATACATAATGTTGCCGTCATATTCATTAATCAAAGTTTCATTATGCCTCGTCTTGATGTGTGTGTAATTCCATAAGGCTCCAGTAGGTGGCGGTAGGACTGTGGCTTACAGTGTTTTAAGAGTAGAAGAAGAAGAAGTAGTACTCACGACTGCAACTGCCGTAATGCGACATGTCGAAAAACAAACTGGATGAAATGCGGCACTACTGAGCAATACTTGATGTTGTTTAGTTGTTAAAAGAGAAACTGTCACACCAGGAATTTTACCCAGTAAGTGCAAAGCAGCCACCATCTTTCGGTGTACTATCAGTTTCCCTTTGGCGCTTTTTGTACTGAAACACGTCTTAAAATTGGGAAAAATCCGAGAAACAGTTGGGTTTTCCTGTGTATAACAAGGAACTACACTAACCGCATTCTGTTGCAGCGGGCTCGTCTAGTGATCCTGCCCCAAAAAAGCGATGCTGGTCACCGTTTTCTGCGCGCCGAGGGATCGCCCAGAAACCACATTCGCCCTCGATGTGTCCCCGGAGCTGGAGCTGAGAGACTTTGTAGCACTTTGTGAACTGGAATCAGGAATCCCAGCAGGGGAAATTCAGGTAGGACCCGGGCTATCTGTAGCCAGGGAGCTAACGGAGCTAGTAGCTAGCTAGCTGACGTGCTAGCATGAATCGGACTTTTGATGGACGGGGTGTTGCGAAACTTCGTTTATGAACAACAGAGAAATTTGTCGACTTGTTTCCCTAACGGTTATTAACGGCTAAAGGCTGTTAGCAACAGTTGGTGACTTTAAGCTAACTGAAAGTCAAACCGAAAGCAAATTAACGAAGCTAACTGTTGTCACACTAGTTTACAATCGAAAACGATACTTGTTCAGGCTAACGGTAACGCTTACACGAAGTCAGCCAAAATAACTGATATTCTTATAACTTTAACGAGACAATTTTTGTGTATCTGGTGCCCCAGTAACGTTAGTTAACGGTTTCGTCATGTTAACTTAAGATAAGAGGGACACGCTATCTTGACAGATTAAAATATGGTCTCAAAAGCAAACGTTAACGTTACCCCAATAAACTGCATCCAGTTTGAATAGCGATATAGGTTACAGGGTGTGTGAATAGCTTTATTAAAACCTCAATGAGAGTTTTAACTGCCAGTTTTACGTTTATTGTGAAAGTGGAGCTATCAGGTTTCTAGTCTTAAAATACACTATAACTGAACCATATTCAGTGTGGCCATGCCATTAAAACCAACTCAGAAAAGCCTCTATTTCCGGTTGTATTGAGACCACCCTAAAACTTCAATTAAAAGCCTGGTCCCAATTAAACGCCCAGTCCCTTTTACTAAACCGGTGTGGCTACACATTTTGGCAAATAAAGGCCTGTCTCAATTAGAGGCCTGGTCTGGTTAAAAAGCAGTTCATTTGTATATAACTGGGCTGCTGGTTACCTCAAAGTATGGGTCCATTACTCGATTACTGTGCAAGTTATTCATATTCCTTTAGTCCATAAAGGTCCTCAGATCAAAAGAATCAAAAGGGTTTTTCATAAAAATTAATCCAAGTTGCAAGTATTGTTTTACCAGGATAAAGTGGTGTTTTGTCAGTATGCAGGGTGCCATAATCCGCAAGTGCCGTAACTCACTTGATTTGCTGTCTGTCAGAGCTAGATCAAATGATTGATTCATAATTGCTATATTATCTGAAGCCTAATTTTTATACAATCAATACTCATACTGGTTTAAATAAACATTTTTAATTGTATTTCCTGATTTTTGCAGAGCAACAGTTTTGAGTGAAAGGAACTGAGTTTACATTCAACTCTACTTTTGCTTTAAGAGCAATAGGTAATGTTGGAGTGAGACAAAATAACATGGAACTGAATAGCTGAGGAATCAGCCGAGAGATAGACTGGTCAGTCATTAAAGTTTAAGGGTCCAGTGTATATGATTAAGGGGGATATATTGGCAGAATTGGAATATAATATAACATATGTTTTCAAGTATGTTTTTTTTTTTTTAATCACCTGGAAAAAAAAGATCATTTATTCAATACTTTAGAATGAGCCATATATATCTACATAAGGAGCCGGTCCTTGTCCATGGAGTCCTCCATGTTGTTTCTACAATAGCCCAGAACGGACAAACCAAACACTGGCTCTAGAGTGGGCCAGTCACACCATAGTTAGCAGCCTCTCAGTGATGAACAGGGTTGGAAGAACACTGATTTTATAATTTGAAATTAATTTATTCAGTGTTTTTACCAGCTTAATCACTGTGTCCATTTATATTGGACATGAAGAGACCTCTGCAAATAATTTGGCTCCCAGTAAAAACCTGAACAATGAGCACTGAAGGAAATCTAACCAGAGGTTTCATCTTTTTGCAATCTGCAATCCTCACCTCTAGATTAGGGATGGACGATATTTGATTTCTTTCTGATATGTAACAACTCATTTGACCGATAACAGATATCAGTATATCCACATCTTTCCCTATGTAATTTAAGTGATTGTCGAGTCTCTTCTGTGGTGGAATTAACATCATATTATGCATGCATACTCTTATTATGATGGCCCACCAGCAGATGAAGACATGAAATACAGTACTTTTCACTGTATGTAATATTTATTCATTGTGTAAATTAAGAAAAAGTATGTTGGCCAATTCTGATATTTCATTTTAAAGCCAGTATTGGGCGATACCGATGATGTGGCAATATCATCGTACAGTCCTACTCTAGATGCCACTAAATCTCACTCAATTTTACACGCTGCTCCTTAAAGTTAATTGCAATTATGGAAATTTGGTTAATGGTTTAGTTTAAATTCAATTTCCAAGCATGGATATTATATCGATTCTTTGAACAATGATACAATATTTGCTGATATCACAAAGTCTGCCATGATACGATTTTAATTCAGTTCATTTCAGTGGCTTGCATTCAGTATGGGACGGTATCAGTAAATATCCTCACTGTCTTTTTCTTAGCTGCTTACCTTTGTCTGCCTGGTGCTAGGCAGCTAGTACTGTTTAAATATTTAGGAAGGAGGTGTGCTTGGACAGAAGTGTCACAGACACGCCATGGGAATTTAAAAACAAAGGCGTATCTCAAAGATGACAATGTGCAGTGATGTTTTCACTCTGGATCATTGATCATAAACTGGATATGTTACCCCCCTATTACTACTGTCTTAAAAATCAGGGTTCCAAGATCGCCTCATTCCCCTTCATAAATAATACAGCTTGGTCAGTCTGTTATAAAACATGTGTGGGTTGGCAGGAAACAGAAAGTGAGGATGATAAATTAACCTAAAACAAATACATTGACACCACGACACCAGTCAAGTGGCTAGCAGTAATATAACCTTGTAGATCTGGATTGTAAGGTAGTTGCTGCTGTCAGGTAGACCTCTCAGTTGACCAGCCAGTAAAGCTATATAACATATTTTAGTCTGTTTTACTTACAGGAAAATAGAGCTTGCAAAATGATGAAGACATGATATAAAATTCAGTTCTGTATATTTCCGTAAACAGATCACATATGTAGAACAGCCCCTAAAAGACCCTACTCGTGCCTTGGGGACCTATGGCGTTAAGGATGGAGATGTGGTGGTTCTCAGGCAAGCTGACAGAAGGCCACCACCAACTCAGCCAGCCTTTCCAGGTAACCCACGTGTTTGTTGAAATAATATAAATGCTATTGATTTAGATCTGTTGCCATATTCCCCTTAAGATGGTGGTTTGTTGTTTTTCCACAAGATGACGACTGATGGGTTGGGACTTGACTTTGAGACCAACATAAATTGAGAGTTCAGAAATAAGCAGGACAAGAACAAAAAAAGGACACAGATGGATAACAGCGACTGCTTATTTCACTATTTAATAGTTTGAGCATTTGACAGTGGAACATTCATCTAACCGGTGTTACTGCTGCTAGTTCTAGTTAGTGACAAGCAGGTATTTTTTTTATCATGGGAGGGGTTGGACGGTTGCTCCAAAATCAAGATAAGATAGCAAAAGTAGGGGGAAAGTATGTGCAGGTTACAGGATGAGAAATGTGTTGATTTTAAAAAGCAGAGGTATACATCTAGGAGCACAAGACAACACTATTGAAAAGACATGAAGATGAATGCATCATCTATTTAGTGAGCAGAGTTCTTGCACATGCAAAATGCTAACCTATCACCATTTATCCTCCACACTCCTTAGGTCTGCCCCATATTGACTTTCGTTCGATCACAATCCCCGGCACCTCTTCTTCAACTAGTCAACGCGGTGCCATAAGGCCACAGCAGCAGCAGCAACGGGCTCCACCGGCGCCCTCGTCGCAGCCACAGCCTCAGCAGCCGCAGCGCGCCTCACAATCTTCCACGCCAATGGCCTTTCGTGGTTCCTCTCCTCAGGGGCTGGATGACCCTGCCTTACTCCAGCAGATGCTATTATCTAATCCACACGAGCTTTCACTCCTCAAGGAGCGAAACCCACCGCTTGCTGAGGCCCTGCTGAGCGGAGACTTAGGTAAACAAAAAAAAAAGAGCTGTTGATTGTCACCTGCCACGATTTATGTTCACCTGTAATCAGATTTGAACTGGTCTTGTTACTGTAACTGTCTCAGAGCGTTTCACCAAAGTGCTGCTGGAGCAACAGCAGGATCGAGCCAAGAGAGAGCAGGAGAGGATCAGACTTCTGACTGCTGATCCTTTTGATTTGGATGCCCAAGCGAAGATTGAGGAGGACATCAGGTATAGTGCAGAGACCATACTTTTTTTTTTTTGTTGAATATTCATTATGCAACACATTATACCTCTCGTCTTTAGCATGGTACAGCCTCAGTTTTACTTTCATAATGAGATATTGTGGTGTAATAATTAAAGGGCTGGGTATCATTTAAAAACATTACGACACAAGCTTAAAGTGATACCGATATCAGTACATTACTTCATGCAGTTCCCATCATGTGAATGAAGTGGCGTGTAACCTAGCCATACTTTCAAATGTTTTCATGGCATCTCAGCATGCTGAACTGTCAACTTCTTCAACAAACCACATCAGGGCTTGACCCTAACTTTTTTCCCAAGGAGCACATGTGCTCCTAAGTTGAGAAAGTAAGGAGCACACAAAGAACTTTAGGGGCACAATGTAAATTGATCAAATAATGTGTTTTCCGTAATAAACGTGATGCAAATAGACATTTACAAGCAAAATTATGTAATGAATTTGTATACAAAATGTACAGAAAGGTAAAATCGTCAAGTTTTGAAAAAGTAGGCCTATTGCAATTTAATTTTGTCTTTAATATTATTATCTTATATATATTATCTTTGCAATATGATTATCTTATATAATGTTATTACTATCCTAAAACATTCTCCAGGTCCTCTGAAACTCTGCAGGACTTAAGCCTCTTTCACACAGAGCTTTCGTGGTGCCCACCGCGGGGTAGGGCGCAGAGGACAGGATTTGGGGGAGTACAGGCTCGTTCAGGAGCTACAGCTCCATGGTGACCGCTTCCGGGTCTACTTCAGGCTCTTCTCTGCTATTGGACGCGCGGCGCCGAGGTGTCGTCACAGCGTGCAGACGCCGCAACATGCGCCCTCTCGCACGCTGCTCAGCTCGGCGGCAGAGCGGTGCGCACTTGCGCCGCGGTAGCACATACACAATGAATGGGTTCGTCAGCGGAGGTCTGCGCTTTGCACGCTCTGTGTGAAAAGGGCTTTATTTCCACCCTGCCCAGCAGCAGTACCGTGGCAAACGGTCCCTAAAGGCCTCTACACATGATCAGCTGTAAAACCGCTTTGCGCTGGCTGTCCCATTGTTTGTCTATGGAGAGGGCAGCAATGCCTGACAAAGCGGCACCGCTACCCTTGGCGTCGCGCACCGCTCTGATTTTCCGCCCGAGCGCTGCGCTCAGAGTTGAAATTATTTGAACTACGGGAAGAACGGAGCAGGCTTCCCCGGAGATCCGCCGCTTAACCTGGTCCATCTCCTCCACACTTTGACTTATTTCCACGCTGCCGACAGTGGGACTTTAGCCCTTTTCACACAGAGCGCGGAAAGCGCAGACCTCTGCCAACGAACCCATTCATTGTGTATGTGCTACCGTGGCGCAAGAGCGCATTGTGCCGACAGTGGCTTGGAAAACCGCCCATAACCGTGTCACATGGGGTAGAGGGAAGAGGGAAGGCGGCTGGAGTTCCTCCAACATTTGCGGTTAGAGTATCGTATTTTTTATTGACAAAAATATAGGCTGCTTCGGCTGATTTTTTTATGCACACATGTGCCCCTAAATATTTTTTACAGTTCGCACACATCTATTTTTAGTCGCAAATGCGAGTGAAACCCTCGCACTGTCGAGCCCTGCACATACTGTATGGGTTGTAGCTGCTGCTGCAGGAGTGTGAGCTTTTCCCTGCTGACAGTTGTGAGAGTCTGCTCAGCTGCATGCACAATGACGGGACTAACTGTTAGCATCACACAGCTAATGTCATCAACAGCTATTAAGGGGTTACTGACTGAGTTTGTTAGGAACCTTTAACGGCTGGGGGTCAAATGTTAGCCGCTGCTGCTGTATTAGCTCATGCTAACTGGGCAGACATTGAACTGATCGTTTGTCGGAAGGGGAGGGGCTCTGGAAATGGCAGCAACAGAAAGTTTGCTGATTTGGACGGTCCTACATCAGACCCCTTGCGCAAAAAGGATCGAATGTTGGTATCATTCGATAGTATGATAGTATCATACCCAGCCCTAAATTATTTTGTAATGTAATGAAATTTGCAATTTTCCTGAATTTGAAGAGGTTGTTCACCAAAGTAAGGCAGCATGTTTTCATTTGTTTTAAAAAACTCAAGCCTCTTCTTCTTTGTGAATATTCCAGGCAGCACAATGTGGAAGAAAACATGACCATTGCAATGGAGGAGGCCCCAGAAAGCTTTGGACAGGTGGTTATGCTCTACATTAACTGCAAAGTCAATGGGCACCCTGTGAAAGCTTTTGTTGACTCAGGTAATGAGCATTAAATCCTGATCCCATTTGTATACGTAACAAAATTCTGGCCGTAAATGGGAATGGTACTGAAATGTTGGTGTGCTGCTAGATTGTGCTTTAGTTTTTGTTTGTATCTTAACAGATAAATAAAAGAAAAGTCTTTGTAGCTCAGTGATTTGAAAATGTATCAGTATCTGAATTCACTGTACTTGGAGAATACGCTGATGCACACAGGTCTGCATGTCTGTAAATTATAATCGATTTCAGCCGCTTGTGTCTGTGATCTCATTCCCCTTGTGATTGTTACAAGACCAGTATGACTCAGCCAAGATCTGGAAGACTAACCTCATCCTGGAGCACAGAAATATGATACATTTATTGCACCATGTGGGCTTACACAGCATTATATTCCCCTTTTCATTGCACAGGCCAGTTTAGGTTTTTGATTAGGTTTAAACATTTTATCTTGACGTTCCTTGTTTTTAGGAGCCCAGATGACCATCATGAGCCAAGCGTGTGCTGAGCGCTGTAACATCATGCGGCTGGTGGACCGTCGTTGGGCGGGGATTGCCAAGGGAGTGGGCACCCAGAAGATCATTGGCAGAGTTCACTTGGGTGAGTGTCGTTTTTTTGTTGTTGTTTTTTACTTGAGAAACACTCTATAAAAGCGTCAGACTAGTTCCTTCCAAAAAAAAAAGTTATATACAGATTTTGCTGACTTGTTCCTACTTACAGTTGCACAAAAGCTGTGTGCAGTTTGCAAGCATGCTGAATGGTTAGATAGCCTGTCATAGCACAATGACTGGGTGTTTTTGAGTCCACTTCCTATTGACGTTCAACCATAATTACGGTTTGAAATGAGTAATTCCAAGTGATGATTTAACTGTGGTGATTTAATGTAACTTGTGGTTATGCTGTGAATTGCTGTGTAAGGAAAGCCGTCAGCGCAGTTCAACAAACACAAAGTAACTTCCTGCATATCCACACACTAGCAAAGCTTACTACTCAGCATGTCTTTTAAAACTGCAAACAGAGATATAAAATGGCGTCAGAGATTGTCTAACACTAGGGAAGGTGGAATCATTTTCCTTCAATCTAGGGATGAGAACTGATAGATTTTAGTGATGCTAATGCCATCATTGATTCATTTTATCTGTCTGATTCTTTATTGATTCCTGATCAATTTTCTGTGTGGAAAAAAGTAGGCCTACAGAGGTTTTCAGCATCAGTGCAACTGTTTTATTATCAATTAGTCTAAACACACTGTAGAAAAAATTGAAAAAACTAATGCATGTCCTCATCTCCTACAGGCTATAAGATTTTAGCAATCTGTTAAGTTTATTTATACTGTGCGACATGGATCTAATAAACCTAGGTTTGATGTTGATGCAAGCAGACTGTACAATGACAGTGCCTACTGAATCGCAGGCTATGACGCACGATATAATAGCTCCCCATACTGAGTGTGCAAGGATGCTGCACTGGTTTTAACTTCAACTGTGAAGCACAACGTAGAGGGTCACATTAGTAACCTTAAGTTTTGTGGGCACAATATAGTGAGGTATGTCTGTGTGATTGATTGTGTTTGCTAGCTGCTAGGTTGCTCACCTGGCAGCTGCAACTCCGCCACTATTTCCTTATGTGCTTAGTCCTTCTTTAGGCATTGATTGTAAGAGCTGGATGACACATCAAACAAGCAAGGCACCTGCTGCCAAAACTCAGCAAGGTTTTCCTCTTTGCTGGAACCCCACATATTTTTTCTAACAGTTTTGCCTCCATGGCATGCTGGGTTTAGCGCAAGTGCATCATTTCATGCTGCATTTCTATTGGTTGGTTAGTAGACGTAGGTGATAAGAGCAGTCACACAGTGAGATGGTCATCCTAAACTTGTGACACCATCAGAATTCCCTTGTCTTTGACGACAAGATTGTGACAACGGCCAACCTTGAATCTCTCTCACTGTGTGAAGGACGACCATCGTTTAGAGCCACAACCAAAAATATTGCCACATTTCTTTTGTTGGTCATCTTTTGTCTGGTACAGCCCAAAATTGCACAGTGTATACCAGGCTTTGCTTGAAATTCTCATTTTGCAAATATTACATGCAGTACTGTCATCTTTCTCCATGGAATGAAGCCACACTTTGGACGGTTTTCCCCTCCACTGTTACTCCTTCTCGTTGCAAGTTTAACTGTATTGTTTGCAATGCACAACTGTTCGAAAAACATGCTGGCATTAATAAAAGAATTGATAGGCTCAGAGGCATATAATTCTGATGGACTGGAAAATTTGGAATCGGTTCTCAGTTTCCATCCCTAATTCTCTCAGCTGCGTCCATACTCAATTCTCTGCTGGACATTTCAGTGTAGTTAAAATTGTGCTGTCTCGTTGCTCTCATGTAGCTCAGGTCCAGATAGAGGGGGACTTCCTCCCTTGTTCTTTCTCCATCTTGGAGGACCAGCCAATGGACATGCTGCTTGGCCTGGATATGCTGAAGAGACATCAGGTGTGAGCCCCTTTTATCTGATCACAGTATGCTGTACAGTATTGGAATTAATTAGTTTTATGTTCTCTGTACACGGAATGAAGAGGAAAGTTGAAGAATATCTGGGAGCATTACTTGTCCTGTTTTTCTTGCAGTGTTCGATTGACCTGAAGAAAAGCGTCCTTCTTATAGGCACTACAGGCACCGAGACTCGCTTCCTGTCTGAAGCAGAGCTGCCAGAGTGTGCCCGCCTGGCATACGGAACAGAGGGGCGCGAAGACGCCCGTCCAGATGAGATAGCCGACAGAGAACTGGCAGAGGCACTTCAGAGGTCCATACAGGAAAGCGGTAAGAAACAGGCTGCCATCCCTGCTCCTCAGCCTGTTTTTCATTGGGCTTGTTTGAGCTCAGTTAGAACCACATTTGCATGTGCCACTTTACAGCTTCTTACTCTCAACCCCATTTATGCGGTCATCTGAATTTCAGTCACATGATCACTTCATGTCATCACCTCAGCAAATTAAATATGCTTTAGAATAAGATGAGGTCAGGACATTGAGAGATGCCTGTCAGGAAAATATGATCATAGAAGATAAATTAGGTTTTGGATGAGATCAAGCTCTTTAGGCTTAAAGGGAAACACTCATGATTTGTTTGGGTTTGTTTTTTTTTTTGTATTTAGAGTGTCCTTGGGTTGAATGAAAGGCAGTTAAAACTGAATTTATCATCATGATGAAACCACAGAGCAGGCTTCTGTATGCCTTTGTCTAGTTTTTAGCTGCCCTTTGTGGATGTGCTATTGTCATCATTTGCTGTGGTTTTTAAACACCCACTGTATAACAAGATATACTTTGGAGAAAACACCTAACCACTGATGGCTCCATTCACACTTCATGGAGCCTAATCACCAGTACTGAGTGTGTCTTCTTGCAGCGAGTTCAGTGTAGACTGTTAACATTTTGTCAGATTCTTTGTTAGCCAACAGTGCAGATGGATCCTGAAGGAGTGTGAAAACAGCACTTGAAGCCACCTACAGACAAACTGAAAGGGACATCTAGTGCCAGTAGAGCCATTGGTGGTGATTTGTGCGAGCAGGATTATGCTACATAGTAAGTCAGTGAGATATGGCAGCAGCATTACAGAAATGTATTAGAATCAGAATCAGAAAACCTTTATTGTCCCTTGCAAGAAGCAATGGAAATTCGTCTTTGACGTGCTCACAAATGTACATAGAATAAAAACACAAGTTAAAACACAGTTTAAACATAGAACATCAATGCAGAATAAATACGCATACGTATTGCATTTTTATTGTGATTAATTCTTCTCGTAATTATGATTTCTGTATCAAATCATCTGCCATGAGGTTGAACAGTCACTAAAAATGCCTGCACAGTGTTGGCACAGTAAGGATAATCCCAATGTTTTAAACAAAAGACTTACACTATGCATTTAAAATTAGGTAGCGGTGGCATAGTCGTGTTGGTTAAATGGTCGGTTAAGGTTTGTGAGATAGCTTTCTAATGATTATGAGATGACAATCTCATAGTGATGTATTATGATGAAATATTGTGTAGTATTACATGAAAGTGTGTTTGTACAGTTGTCAGTCAAAATGCTTGCTCTGACATAACCGTTAGCATGATGACATGCTAATAATATTTGACTGTAGCTGGCTGGTGTCACTTTATCTCAGTGTCTGGGCAATCTGATGAGATATACCAAGTGCTGACTAGTCATTTAATTCAGTTTATGTCTCTGTAGCTATTCTATACATATACATGTCTCTGAATGTATGAGGACATTTTTGACAATGTTGGAAATAAATGAGCAGGACTGTTTTAGGCAATATTGGCCATTTAGATGATTTCAACATCCATGTGATGAAGTTTTGTGGTCTCTCAGGTATTTAAAGGGATGTGTTGCAGATTTTCAACCAGGTCTGTGTCACTGTGGTTTGGGGTGTATGTTCAGATGAAAAATGTCTGGCTTCCCCCCATGCCAGCAGCACCAAGAATCCACTGGATGACACGACATGCGTCATCTGGCAGATTTTGACTGGCAGACAGGCAGGGAACTCCAGTTGCTCATGGCCTGGGAGTGGAAGGGCACCTTTACACCGTTAATGTGCACACACTCCCCACACTGGGGTGACACAGACCTGGTTGGAAATTGGAAAAGTATCCCTTTAATTCACTGGATTAATACAGACATTCTTGTGCAGTTACTTTGTCCATTAACATCATGATATGTGACAATATTGCGATACAAAGTGACATTGTCTGTGATAGATGAGTCTATCCATAGCTCCAACTCCTACTTGGGTATAAAAGTAACTGTTGACTGTAAGAAGAAATAGTACTTTCTCTACCAGCTGAATCTGTTGTAACATTTGAGATAATCACAGCATAATCACTGAAGTGTTTCCCTTTAAATGCTTTTCAAGGCTTGCATTAACATTTGTGCTATTGCCATAGATGCACTTAGTCTTTGTTGTTGTTGTTTCCATCAGCCAGTCATGTCGGGTAATGGCTGCACATTGATGAATGGAATGTAAACAAAAGCAGCAGTAGTTGAGTCGTAAAGAATTTGTGTGGACTCTGTTGTGTAATCAGGCATTCCTCCACTAGAGAAGAGGCATCAATCAGCTGTTGAATCAGTTTTGGTTTTGATTATCATGGTTAATTTTGATCCAAGTGTCCGACTTGCGTGACCTCGATTGAGCTTTCTGAGGTTCAGTGACAGGTTATGTGACTACACTGTGACCTCTCTGTTAGGACATAGGCTCAAGTTGTTTTTGGATGACACTTTTCACGCGTGTGTGTGTGTGTGTGTGAAAAGGCTGATAGGTTGGCGCATGCTCTGTGTGTGACTGCTAACTTTCTCCGTCCCTTTGCATGATGTGTGTGGTGTGCGCCCTAACCCCCTGAGCAGGACAGCACTGATGCATTTGGAGACAGCTGGAGAGGGCCCTACCAACCAGGTACTGCAAATTCACAAGTCCATTGCCAGTGCTAAGTCCATTGCTATTTATGTCTTTTATTTTGCTGTTATTTTGCTGCTGGATTGGTTAATGGATGTTGTACTTTTGTTTCCACACATCATGTATTTATTCTGAATACATATAACTGTTAAAAACAGGAAAATGCAGCACAGGTTACAAACTATATGTGCAGCGGGTATTCAAGAATTTGAAGAGTTTCAGTAAGGACATTTGAGTTATTGGTTGTTTCCTTAAATGCATATAATCCAAAGTAAAGGAATACGTTAAATGGCCATTTTTATATCAGTTAGTTTTACTGTGTTATGTTGAATTTGTTTTCCGTGCATGGCTGTTGAACAAAGAATCCAAAAACAGAAAATTCTTCATCAAAACATCTGTTAACAGACTCTCACACAGTTTGTGCAGTATCATCAAAGTCTGATTTGTCCAGACGTATGCTCCGTACATCCCAAACAGACAGCCCTTTCTGACGAGCCAGACTCCATTGACAAAAACCGTAATTTTACCTCCCTGAACACAGGAGCTGCTGGTGCTCCGCTGCCTTAATTGGTTAGTTTATTTGGTGAATCCGAACTAACCCTTTAAAACACCAAAGTCACGCAATAAAACAAGTAAACTGATCAAGGCAACAACATAGACTGTAATAAAAATTGACATAGCTACCATGACATCACCCATTGGTTTGCGGACTCCCATTTTGAAGCCTCAAGTTCAGCATTTCAGTCCTCGCCATCTTGTTTTTGTTTTTTTTTGTGGAGCCACAAGTGACCATATTTGCAAGAGGCTGGCACTGTGAAGGAGTGACAGATGGATCTAACTGAGAAGCCAAGGATGATATCGGCAGACAGCCTGTCACTCAAAGCAGCCCGCCCTTAATTATGTATATCTTTAAGCTTTAATAAAATGTAAACAGGTGAGTTTTACAGTTGCACAGACAGTTGTCATGAAAGGGGAAATTAGCTTTGGAGATCAAAAACTGCTTTTTGTACCAGGCTGTAAATGTGTTTATTTCTGCCATAAAGCTGGAATTTTTAACATGGGGGTCTATAGGTATTGACCAGCATCTGGAGCCAGCCTCAAGTGGCTGTTAACAGAATCTGTTCATGAAGGTAAAATTCTGTTTTTGTCAGTAGAGTCTGGCTTTGAGGAGGACATAGATAGTTTCACTTTCATTTCAGTTCCCTGGCATACAACTGGATAAATCAGACTTGGATTATACTGCACATGTCGTGTTCGAGTTTGTAGACTGATATTTTGTTATAATTTTGCTGTAATTAAACCCCCACCCCTATGAGTTCAATCCATCTAGAATTTTCATTTTTGGAGTCTTTGTTCACCAGAAGCATATGAGAAAAAACTTTGTCCTCACAATTCCAAGCTAACACGTGGTGAGTAATTGATATACAAATGGTCATTTAGGGGGTGCAGTATTCCTTAATGCTTCCAGATGGATCCACACTCTGTTTTATTCTCATTTATATTTTCCTTTACAATAGACACTGCAGATGGACAAACTACCTCACCGCAGCCCCCACCATTTACATTACCCAGAACCTTAGACCAAATGTCCTCATCCACCTCCCCTTCCCAGAGTCCTTCCTCTGGCCAGCCCCAAACTCTGGATCGCTCTCAGTCTGCCCCGGCCGCCATGGAGCAGACCTTAGCACCAGAGCTGTGCCAGGACCAACCTGGCCTCCAGGAGCTTCCTCTACCCTCGTCCTCAGCAGAGGATGCTGTTTCTATCCATCACCAGGTCCACCCTCAGCCTCTGCCTGTCCATAGCAATTCCAAAGTGCCCCCTATCCCCAGTCCCTCAACAGACGCCCTCCCTACATTTACCCCTTCTGCGGACACAACGACAGAATCCCAGTGTCCGGATGAGAGAGAGGGGGAGGTACAGCCTGGCCATGCAGAGGGGGATGCTGAAGCAGATGAGATGATGACCAGCCCTATGCTTCCCCAACCAGAGGAACTCTCCCCCATTCAACCCATGGAGCAGGAGGCAACTGAGTCTGACGTCGCAAATGCCACAGAAGCCTGTCCGAGTGCTCCTAGCCAACCTGACTCGGTTGAAATGGACTCTCCCGCTGCCTCCCAGGAAGTAGTGTCCTCTGAGAGGGACCAGCCCGAAGGAGAGCACTGCTCCAGCTCTGACAGCACCCCGTCGCTGGCGGCCGCACTGAGGGAGCTACACGAGCTGCTGGTGTCAAACAATCGTGCTCATTCGCAAAACCGCAGCGCCTCCTGCTCCCCTTCACATCCGTTCAGACAGGAAACAGACGAAGTGGCCCCCGAGCCATGCACCCCGACACCCGAAAACACCCACCCCTCTACTGCCATCACAGCCGGTGCAGAACCAAGCGATGCCAAAGCCAACTATGCTGCTGCTGTGTCTGATGAGGGACCATCTAAGTGTCTTGTGCCTGACCTCTCTGGCCAGGATGAGCATCTGGGCGGGGATACAGCAGAGACTGTGGAGGAACAAGGACCACCGCAGTGTCCAGACGGCTCCGGGGAGAGGATGGTGGATAGATGCGGGCAAGATGAAGCAAATAACATCAGCAGTTTTCAGCCTGAGCCAGAGGCTCCTCCGGATCCGGCAGGGGACCTGGAGGTCAGGGAACCTCCTGAAGGGCAGCAGGGGAGAGGGGTTGCAGATGGACGAGCCTCTGGCACCAACACCCCAGACACTCTTGGCCTCCAGACTGAGCACACTTTCCTCAGCCCTCTGTCTATGGCAGTGGGCTCACCTGAGGAAGTCACGAGCACCTCCTCCCCTTCAACCCCTCCTCTGGCTCAGGCTCCACAGCTCACGTCTCCAGCCTCTCCCCTCCCTTCTCCGCATCCCTTTATAGAACAATTTCCAGCTGAGCACATCCAGAGAATCCAGGCAGCGGGCTTTTCTGCCAGGGAGGCTGCAGAGGCACTGGAACAAGCCCATGGGGTTGTGGAGCTGGCTCTGCTGGCTCTATTAGCTCGCAGTATCACTGTGCCCACCTAGACTCCTAACTAGTCATACGAGTCCCCAGCCTCCCGACTCAGCATCTGTCTTATTTATATCTTGTTACTGATCCAGATGTCTCAGTCCCTTCTTAGCAGGGAGCACGTATAAACACAGGGAAATGCTGTCTCTTGGTTTGTCGTACAAAATATCCAAGAACAAACAGGACAACTGGTAAAACTTTTCCGGATGTTGCAGATCTGTGAGGTGTGTTTGCATGCAGATGTTTTGGGTGGCCACCCATTTCATTGGTTTTTAGAGATTTGGTATGGTAGATTGATTTTTCTTCTGGTTTTGTCGTCCAAAGTTGACACATTAAATGCCCAATGTATGATTTTTTTTTTTTTTTTTTTTTTTTTTTTTTTGACCATTAAACGTTATAAATTTCCCCTTTGATATGTTATAAAACTATTGTTGTTTAAGTTGTGGAGCATCAAAAAAATCTCAAAAGGGAGTAACGTTACTCCTGTTTCTTGTTCCAGAATAACTGTCTGGTGAGCTTTATATCATTCAGCACAAATATGAATATTTGAAGCAATTTGATGATGAATAAAGCACCATGTTGATTTTTATGTTTGTAGCCCCTTCAGTTTATATATCAGAACCCAGTGATGAAAAAGCTACATCGTGAGCACTGCTGCAGTTCAGAAGGGTTGATCTTTACTGATCGCGTTTACAAATAGTGAAAAAAGTAAAAGCCCCGAATATCCATGGCCATTATCACACTAAAATATCAAGTGAGCCACAAGTGTGTTTGTGACGTATGATCATTGATGGTATTTTTCAGTTCAGTATGTGTATTACAGAAGGTATCTTGTACTGTACGTATTATTCTCCACAGTTTGAAAGCTTTGCCATGTGTAGATTACACAACTGTTTGTAGCTCCTGTTCAGTCGTTTTATTTTGTGTCAAATCATCATAGTGTGTGTTCATACCTTTAAAAAAAAACAAACACCCATTTTCATTTTGTAATCTGTTAGAATATTGCCATGTCAGTACATCATATATCAAGGATTTTAATGGCTTTATTTGAGTCATATACCAACAATGTTCAGGCAGATTGAATTATCTACTTTTATCTTGTATGAAATTTTAAATTGCAAATAAAATGAAACTAGTATTTGTACACGGTGTGAATTTATTTATTTTTTTACTCCCTTTACTTCAATTGTGATTAGAGCTGCATTTTTAAAATTAAGCCATTCTGAAATGATAATGTTCTTTTTATACATAAAGTGGCAGTATCAACAAAAATCAGTGCTTATATATGTTGCTTCAATATGTGCACCAATGCATTTCAGACACTGTTTCTTAGGCTGTGTTCAGCCTGCAGGCAAAAGTAGCCAAAATCCAATTTGTTAGTTTGCTGCGTTTGTTTGTTTTTTGGGGGCTTTTTTCCCATAACAGTGTAAACAGCACAAATCACATAGAATCTGATCTTTTCAGTTAGGACTTGTGCATGTATTTATTTACTTTATTTTATTTTTTGTTATGCAACATCAGACTGAACAGTTGTATTGGAATTCATGCAACTTCTTCATGACTCTAGATCAGGGGTTAGCAACCTATACTACCAAAAGAGCCATTTTTGGCCAAAAAAAATAAGCTTTCTTAATCTGTCTTGAACCACAATACATATTTGTGCCATGAAGTGACGGTAACACAACCTATGTAACTTAAATTAGCCTGTAAACATTTATTAAAGGTCTAAATGAGCATTCATGCATATGTTTTACAACAAAATAGCTACTCTGCAGTGGGCTATTTCTGATTGTTTGGTACTTAAATTTTGCAGCGTCAGTGGTGAAAGCAAACAAATCTGTCCACTCACTATTAAATTCTCTATTTTCCTTTGAGATGTTTTCATTTTTGGAATCAATAGCTAGCCTCACTAAGGAAGACTAAGCATTGTTGTTGAGATTCTGCAAAATTTTAGGAAAGATTCTAGGAAAGGCCGTAGATGTATGACCTGCATAGCTGACGAGATGTTAGATATTTTTATTCAGTGTATAGGCTGCACATTTCTACAATTGGAAAATGTAGGAATGACTCTACTGCTACAGCAATGATAAATGAAAGCCAGCGGGGAAGGGTCACAGAGCTGTGGGTGGCTCCTGAGCTGCAGGTTGCCTTCCCCTGCTCTAGATCAACATTCATCACAATGTTGCACTGGTGGGAATCAGTGTTGCCAGATCTTTGGAGAGAAACAAGCAACCAGGACTATGGAAACAAGCCCAAAAAAAGCAACTATCATGTGTTTAAATAACTTATTAGACGGATATATAGAGAGGAAGGTGGCGTTTAGACAGCAAGCCCAAATAAGCAACTCCACTTTAGAAACAAGCCCAAATTCGTGGCTAATAAGCAGACCTGGCAACCCTGGTGGGAATCGATCTGTGAATGTAAGCCCATAACACAGATGTAGTTAAAAGTAGCCATTAACATCCAGAAACTATCAACTGTGAAGCCATTCACATCACCGTTTCACCACTCCTGGCTCCAACCCTGCATCCACACACACACGTCCATACAGAAGTAGCAGCCATTGGCCCCAAAAATTTGGCTCTTCTGCCTTATCTTTGTCATCATCTGCTCACAAATTTGCTGGCTTCCACTGAAAATGAAACTGATTGCTTGAACAGCCAAACAAAAAAAATCAAAGCACTAAGTCCTACGGTGTTATTGTAGCCATAGACCTACTTTGTTTGCCACTTCTTAATGTGGACATAGTCTCAAAACCTGCTTATAATCAGGGCTGCAACTTACTAATTGTTTTGATACATCAGTTGTAAATATCCATTCCTAAAATAGTGAAAAATCTTCATTTTCCCAGAGCCCATTGTGAAGCTGACAATCTGCTTGTTGTGGTAAACCAATAGTTTAAAACCCAAGCCCCCATTCAGAGTTTGCCAGTGCCCTGAAAAAAGAGTCACACCTGGTTCCAGTTTTGTGATTGCTGCAGAGCTCAGACTGCATCTGCCTGAGATCATTAAACTGAGTGTCTCTGGTGCAAACAAAGGATGCTCCAGTAGATAAACAGATCCATCACTGCACTTTGGTCAGACTTTCAAAAAAAGGAGTCTTGTTGGCAGACTTGCGTAAGACAACATTTCCAGACTGAAGCGTTATGGCTCAACTTGACTGCACAGATGAAAACAGTTGGAGCAGCAGCATACTCAACACTCTAAAGTCCTACGTTGGAGATCCAGTGAGTAATTTGATATCACAGATACGAAACATGGAGACAAAGGAGCAGCTTTCTTTAGGGTTTTCTCCTCCAGAAACCGACAGTGCGCAGGACACTGGAGACCCAGAGGAGAGCAGTGACTTCCTCCTGAACCAGCTTGAGGAGTGCAGGTCAGGACCACATGGTGTATGTAAAGACACTTCAGTTACCTTTATATGTAGGATTATGACCATGAATTATCTTTGTCTTTTTATAGTCCACCCACCGACATATCTTCAGCTCTCAGGTCTGTGGCTTTAATGCAAACATTGGATTTGAAAAACGTACACTGTGCACATGTGCCCGAGTTGTTCTCAGTGCCTCTAGATGAGGTGGACAGTCCAACTTTGTCTCCAGAGGAGGATCAGGATGAAAGTACAGAAGGGTAAGTGAGGCTGTAAATCTTTATTCTCCTTACAATCTCTATACTTTTAACTTATGTGGCCTGCTTTGTAAACCCAGGGCCGCAGATCCAGCTGAGGAGGAAATGAGCATAACATTCCAGTCAAAGTACATTAATTTTTGTGAGTTTCCCTCTCTCTTTGCACTGTTGATAAGGAGTTTAACATTTACAGCTATGTTAAGTCTTCATCTCTTCCTTTGCTCTGCAGTTCCACTGTATCAGGACTACTGTCTGCAGGAGGTGAAAGACAATCTGCACAGGCTGAGCAAGAGTTATGTGTCTGAGCTGATAGCACCTCAGTATCTGCAGGGTCTGCAGTCCCGTCTGGTCGCTCAGTGCGGCGATGTGCCTGCTCCCCTTAAGTTAAAGCATCCTAAAGCGACTGAATCCTCATCTCCACCTCAGCCTGTCAGGGTGACTCCGTGTACCCTTTGGCAAGATCTAGAGGAAGTGAAGGCGTCCGGCCTGCTCAGCAGCCTGACCAACAGGGAGATTCGCCTTCAGGAGGTGTGGAAAGCTTTATGTTTCATGCTTTACAGTACATTATAATCAGCGCACTGCAGTCTAATTTCAAACCAAATTACAGTAAAATCAGAGGAAGACAGGAGTGTAGCAACATTATTAAGATGATGGATTAAGACCCTGTGTCAGTGTAATGCCTGTTACATACCAGAAAAACAACTATCCATTTACCACTAGTGTCATTATGACTGGGAAATTTGGCAAGAGAATGAACCCTATTATCTAAAAGACTCAGTGTGTCATTCTCAGGCTTATGCTGTCTGTTTGTCAGAAGAGAAGGGTGGCTGGGGTGTGACTAACGCACTGATTGACAAACGGGAAAAGTTAGAGGTTGAAGATGAAACCCTGGAGTTGGAAAGAATCTTTGGTTTGTCGCTACTGTCTTGCATGCATGAGTTCAGAATACAGTGTTTTTTGTTGTTGTTTTTCCCCATGATCTGGTTAGTGCGAGGTTAATTTTTGCATCTGATTTTGATGACATCACAATTTTAAGCTTATATTGGGTTCTGATTCCTGACAGAAACAGTAACTAATCACACCTGATGTGTTAAGGACCATTGAGAATCTGATTATCTGATGATAATGTCTGTTTTTACAGTTTCTGAGCCCCTAAGCCAAAATAGAAAACATAAGTCTTCCCTTGTTTCGCACTGCCTCCTCCCCTCTCAAAAATTAAGGAACAGTCCCTTACCTGGCTGAACCTGTGCACATTTCAGCATGTTGACGTGTTTCTTAGCTACTACTGAAAACCATACTGATTTAGCATACAGGATTTAGCATTATTGCATTAATGTGCTAAACTTGTGCTAAATACTGTATGTTTGCATCAAGCATGCTGGCATGTTAATGTCTTATTTTATATGTAACCTTTATCAAGCTAGCAATTTGGCTTGTACGTTGCAATTTACAGCAATACTAAAAAGTATAACTTGTAGGGTGTAGCATTAATATAGTGTGTAATGCAATAATGTCCTACATGCATTTTAAAGGGACAGTTCACCCCAGAATCAAACATACATATTTCATCTCTTACCTGTAGTGCTGTTTATCAGTCTAGATTGTTTTGGTGTGACATGCCGAGTGTTTGAGATATCGGCCGTAGAGATGTCTGCCTTCTCTTGAATATAATGGAACTAGATGACACTCAGGTTGTGGTGCTAAAAGAGACAAAAAATACATTTAAAAAACTCAAAATCAATGTGTCTTTCAAGAAGTAATGTCATCATCAGTAACTCAAGATAAACAACAGTTGTGAGCAGTATGTGTGACCGTTATCTCCACTACTCATCGACTCACTCACTGGAAAACAATGGAGAATTATGGGAAAATGGAGTGAACTTTGAATACAGACAATGCTTGTTGGTAGAATCAGTTCAGTTTTGATTTTTCATGGACTTTGCTCACAGTGGGAGAATCATTACCCTGGTCTCAACTGTAATGAATGGTCTTTGAGGTTTACAGTGACTGTGAAAAGTCTGTTAATTCTTATCTGCTCCTTCTGAAGTCAACGTTTGAGTTGATCGGCTCTGAAGCGTCTTACCTAAGGAGCCTCGGAGTTGCTGTCAATCATTTCTGTGCATCCAAGGCACTGAGGAAGACCCTGAATCAAATGGAGCATCACATTTTGTTTTCCAACATTCGTCGCGTGATGGCAGCCAGTGAAAAGTGAGAGCTCCACACACCAGTTCCTCCTTATGTTATTTGAACTAGTTTCATTGTTCATGCTAAGCCAGCTTCCTGTCTCTTCTAGGTTTCTGATGGATCTGGAAACTCGACTGGGAGAGAGTGTGTTGATATCTGAGGTTGGAGACATCGTGCTGAAACACTGCCCAGAGTTTCGCAGCCTCTACGTGCCATATGTGACTAACATGATGTACCAAGAGACTCTTGTCAACCAGCTGCTGTAAGTCTCCGTTCTGCACTTGATACCAATGCTGGTACTCTACAACACTGACTTTCCATCTTTTCCTTTTCAAGGCAGCAGAACAGAGACTTCCTGTATTCAATCAAGAAGCTTGAGAGTGACCCAGTGTGTCAAAGACGGAGCCTCAAGTCGTTCCTTGTCCTCCCCTTCCAGAGGATTACGCGTATTAAACTCCTCCTAGAGGTAGGCGTCTCATGGCTACTGAATTATATGCTACCAAATATATATTTTCAATTTATGACACGTGTGAGAAGTCAACCAAGGCTTCTGCTGGGTTTTCTTTTACTTCAGAGCATCCTGAAGCTGACTGATCCAGGCTCCGACTCCATTTCAAATCTCAAAAAAGCAATAGAAGCCATTCATGAGGTAATACTGTGGTACATTCAAGTGATCAGATCTGTCTCAGCATGAATGTAGTATACTAATGTATGTTATTGGAGGGTTTCCACTGTGAAAAGGTGTGGATGGTACCAATGGCACCGTTCCATACCATCCCCATTCTTGGTACCCTCTCTGTTGGGGTACCTAGCACACAGATCTGGCCTTAAAATTCAACTCTGAAATTAAAATAAAAAATGACATCACTATCTGCTCTAACCAGATCGTGGCCGAGTGTGACGACGGGGTCCAAAAAATGAAACAAATCGAGGAGCTGGTCTGTCTGGAAATGCTACTGCATTTTGGCAAAGTTAAGGTGACAACTTTCTTTTATTTTCACTGAGATTTCAAACAGAATTTGTTGCCATCTGCATGTTCATGTAACAGAAGTCTGTTTTAAATTCTGTCTGACTCTTCCTCCATCCAGTCAGTCCCTCTGGTCGTAAGCGGGCGGTTTCTGGTGCACCAGGGTCCCATGAGACAGCTGACTGTGGAGGCAGGTCACAACTCGAGAGTGTCATACACCAGCGTCTACCTCCACCTCTTCAATGACCTTTTGATCATCTCCACGAAAAAGTATTTGACCAGACACCCATTATTTAACACCACACATCCTGGTTTCTTATTTGGTAATACACTGAACTGTTGTCACACTTTGTTTTGAAACCAGAATGTGTTCTCTCTCTTTCTCTCTCTGCATCGTCTCAGGGACCGGAGGTTCACAGTTCTGGATCATGCTGACTTCCCCACACATGTGCATGTTCAGAATCTGAAGACTGAGGTCCTGGGTCTACCCCCAGACTCCTTCCTGTTGCACATCTCTCAAAGTCAAACCGGACAGCCCACCGCCATGATACTTGCTGCACGCACAAGGTACGAGTGGACACCTTCCAACCCAACCTCCAGAATGAACGTTGGCATTGTACATTTCTGCAAACCTGATGTGCTGAAACTTTGGTTCTCTACGTTTCAATTTCATGGTTTGACAGTGCTGTAAGTTTAGGCACATAAAACATCTTGTTAGGGTTAGGAAAATATCATGTTTTGACTTTATATACTTGCTTTGGTTGCCACAAACACAACAGGAAAGGTCCCAGCTATGACTGAAAACCACCCAAAAAGAGCAATTACACTCATGAGATAGTGAAAAGGTAACCAGATGATGTTCGGTGAAGGAGACCAAGCAAAAAGGGAAGATATGAATTTATCTAAGGGGACACCCGGTGGTTTAGTGGGTGGAGCAGGTACCCTATTCACAAGGACAGTGTCCTTGCTGCAGCGGCCCCAGGCTTGACTCCAACCTTCAGCCCTCTTCAAAAAGCCTCTAATAATAAGATGAAAAATAAAAATAATAGTTTAAAATAAGACGGTGATGCAGTGGTTAGCATTGCCACCTCACAGCAAGAGGATTTCTAGTTCAAACCCAGGGTGCGAGAGTCCTTCTGTGCAGAGTTTGCATGTTATTCCCATGTCAGCATGGGTCACTATGGGTATTCCAGCTTCCTCCCACAGTCCAAAGACATGCAGGTTAATTGGTGACTCTAAATTGTCTGTAGGTGTGAATGTGAGTGTGAATGGTTGTCTGTCTCTATGTGTCAGCCCTGTGATAGTCTGGTGACCTGTCCGGGGTGTACCCTGCCTCTCACCCAATGTCAGCCTGGATAAGCCACGCCATCCACCAACCTCCTGATCTGAAACTCGGCTCATGCATGTCATCTGAAATACGTCACTTTAGAAACGTTGATATGATTCGTATTAAATGTAACATGTCCGTGGTTTGCAGAAACATACAATGCCAACATTTTATTTTGGTGGCTGAGCTGCATCTTTTATGCATTTTTAATGAGTAATACATTTCCTTTAGCATCACATCTTCCATCTGTGATTCCCTTGTGTTGTTTTTTTTTTTTTTTTTTTTTGCAGGTCAGATAAAGAGGCGTGGATGGAGGCGCTGTCTTCTAAAAAGTGATGGAAACATGATTCTGCAATTTTGATTTTATTATCAAATTTAGGTTGTTTTACTTGCACATTACCAATGTATACATTTTGAAAACTGAAAGAATTTGATAACTTGTTTGTTCTTAAGATTTACCTTAACTTGAATGCACATAATAATCTTGATAAAGGCACACTGGAGCACCATAAAACACAAAATGAAGGGTTAAACATGCACTCAATTTGTCACGATTTGCAGACATATGGCATGTAATGGGATACTTTTCTTTATTATTATTATTATTATTATTATTATTATTATTATTATTATTATTATTATTGGAAATAGCTTTTTTCACCTGTATTAAAATTTTGTCCTTTTTTAAGTAATGCTATGTTTTTTATTAATAAAAATAATTCAGACCTTTTCAGATCTGCCTGATGACACGGAAATGCCTCAGCTGAGAAATGAAGGTAACAAGAGAACTTGACTGAACAGCTGCTGATCTCACTGTGAAATACTGACAAAATATTTAGCACAATACCTCTGAGCAAACAATGTTGACAGAAATCGGTGAAAATCTGTCCCAAATATGCCAGGGATAATACAATCAAGAGGAGCAGTGCTGTCTAATACATGAGTGAAAAAAATTCAGTATGTGCTTAAATACAGGCACTCAAATACATGTAGAACATTGAAAAAAAAAACAGCAGCTTCCTCCATCTCCTCCTGAGGGATCTGAATCTCCCCCAAATCAACAAGTGCGATCTCTCAAAGGCACCCAGGGGTGACCCTACCTGGACCTCCACTTCACCTCAACTTACTCTTAAAATTCTGTTCAGTATTAAAGTATAGTCACTGTCTCCTGCTGTGAATGGTGGCTGGCTGATGCAGCTGTAACACAATCCTGATGCCACAGGTTCTCCGCCAGGCAGTTGAGGAGGGGGGCTACGTCACCCAGCCCGTCACTGACCTCCCCGCCCACACACAGCAGCGGTAAGCTCCACCTCTCCTGGAAGTCCCTCACGTCTCTCTGTGCCACATCACAGTGCATGAAAAGGTCAAATCTGAAGGAAACATTAAGGACAAATGTCCGTCTGTGTATTGATATAGATTTAAGTTTTTATTAAAGAACACAAAAGGATACTTGGTGCCGACCACCAGTTTCACAACATGACCCGCAGACGTCTCAGTCCATTTGGTAATTTGATTCGACAGATCATCGAAGGACGTCCTGTCAGTGAAGGAGAACAGGAAAAGGACAGCGTCCACCTGCTCCTTACAGGCCTGGAAGACACACAGAGCAGAGATTCAATAAAATGTTTGATCTAGAATAATGTGAGTGTTTTAATTTTTCTGTTTCTGGTATAAATCAAATTGTTCGTGTAAAAACACTTTATATTTCATACATACTGGTAGCAAATGGTCAAATCTGCGTAAGGCATTTTCTCCACAGTCCCACAGCTGCAGACGGAAAAACAGCACTCTGCCACTTTCTCTCAGCTTCACTGGCCAATACACTACCGTCGTCTCAATACCTTAAGTTGGATAAATAAATTGTGACCTGATTAACCCTTAACTGTACAGATAACTCTAAAAGTAACTGACTCACGTTGATGTTGGCCCTACCTGTGGTTTCATAGTGCATGTTAGGAACATTCAGGCCTGCGAGACGTGCAGCAAGAGCAGTTTTACCGACTCCACTCTTGCCAGAGAGGAAGATCTTGTAGTGAACTGTGTCCACGGCTACATGTGGGGGCATCACTGGAGACTCCAACAAGCCTGTGAAACAAGTTTTAGAAAGGTCATCTAAATATTTACTGTCATGAACTCCTTCATATTTTCCACAATCCTATTCTTTTAACAGCAACAGTCTTTCTACATGGAGCTACAGTTGTGTTGTTGTAGGTAATTTTCTGACACAATATTTGTATGGTTTCCTAAGACAATTTGAGTGTTCACAAATGCTACAATCACTCCCCTCGATCTAGAAGCCAGACTGGCAAAACCAACATCATGTCTTTAACATATTTAATGTGTCACTGCTTCACAACAAAAGCCAGGGTGCTTTACTTTATGGACAACTTTTATGGTACTGATAGTGAGGATGTATAATAGGAAATGCCAGTGGCGTATGGTAGTTAGGATGGGCTCCAGTGCACACTATTATGTGAGGCCCTTGTGCCAGATTTTGTTTATTTATGGTTTAGATAGTTTATGTAAAAATAAACACATTTAATGTTGTTATGGATTGCGACTATTTCTGGGGTGGCAAGTTGAGTCACTCATAATGGCCCGTTCTCTGTTCTCCAACCTCTCTCTCTCTCTACTGGCCCCCCTGCCCCATGGGCCCCAGTGCAACAGCTCTGCTTGCGCTGTCTTTATTTCCACCCCTGGGAAATGCACATTTTTCTACCAGCCACTTTATGTGACTGCTTCCACCTCAAAGCTCAAATCACGATGAAATGAGAAAAACGTATCTGGTTGAAGTCTGTACAGTGGCAGCATGTGAAGTCTCAAAAATGAACTGTAGAACACACTTACTAAAATACTTGTGTTGTACAATCAAACAGTCTGTCTTACCGAAGTGTTTGCGCCTCTTCTTGTGTAGTATTTTGCTGAAATACTCTTTGCTGTCTTTACTTCGGTGCCAGTCATCTACAACGACTGACCCGGGAGGAGAAATTTGGGCCATGTTGTTGTCGCTAGTCCTGCTCCTCAGCTAAAGTTAGCATCACACTGCTAACGTCAGTTTTACATTATAAAACGCAGCCTGTGAAACCAACAGTAGCGTCAGAGCACAGCTCATAATATCAAAATACTACACACAGCTTCATTTAACCATAAATATATTTAATAATAACACCTGTGGTCGGTTAATACTAGTTTTAAGTCTCACAGAGCAGCCGCTTGGTAAGAACTTCCGTAAACTAAAACATCCCTTGACAACCGCTACCTGACGTCACGTCTCCATGGGCAGGAATGCTGACGTAACTTCCACCAGTCACTGTTAATTGTGATGTTGCCTTCAGGTGCTTCAAAAACCTTTTGTTTTTCTCCTCTCGTTTTTTTCTACTCAGTTCCATGAGCATTTACTTTGATGATATGATGGACGAGTCTTGTCGTTGTATTTATAAATTGTACAATAAAGTTTTTTTAAAAAAAAAAAATGCGGCTTTATCGGTAACCAAATGAACGGAAAACAAAAAGCCTACATTTACAGCTTTTCTTGACTGTTAAGACACGCTTAAAGAAAGTGGGATCCATTTGACCTTCATCATCATCACCACCTTCTTAATACAGCAAAAGTCTTCTCTTGCAAATGTGATGACACTTTGTTTGGGTTCACACATTTTTCACACCCTTTTCAAATCACTCAACACTGATCTCATAGTAAAACCCAACACTCTATTGGATTAACTAAAAAAAAAAGAAAATATCTATTCCAGACTTATGAAAACTACTTGCATAATTGTGAATCTCTAATACACCTGTGTGAAACTCTTTTGCAGAACTTTAAAAAACAAACAAACAGTCAGTCCTTTTCCACCTATATAAAGATGCCACCTCTGTGTTGCTATTTGTAAGCATGATCAGAGTAGAGGAAGATGCCACGGCACAGGAGCCCGAGCATTCAACATTTCTGAGTTTGATAAATATGGAATCAAGACAAGGTCAAAACCTAAAAACCAAAAATGGTATGGCTGCTGCAGTGTAAAATAAGGACATGGAAAAATCTGATCAAATACAATGAGGTGAGGGTGCCCACAGAGAGAGCGGGCCCTCTTACAATATGCAGTGCAGAAAACGGGGCCTTGTAGGTAATTCAGATTGCCACCTTAGATATATGGCTGTTTAAAAAACAAAATAACAACTCACATTAAATTAAAAAAATTGTGTCATTTGCTTGACTATATTGAAAAGGCAAAGCCATCACCATCATGGTTTGCTTTTGTTTTTTTCTAAAACAGTCAGTAGCAATCTATAACAAAATATGTCATTAGATAAATGCTAATTCTACATTAACTATAAATAAGCTTTAAAAAACTTTTCAATTAAATGAATAATTCCTTATTTTCTTTGGTATGTTTTGTATGATTGTTTCTGGGTAGTATGTATGTTGGTGTTATACAATGTCAAGTCTCCATATAATCATATGACGAGACGATAAGATTACACAGCAACTAGTTTAGGCACATAAATAGTAACTAGCTTACATTAGGGCCCATCATAACAGCATGCACTGGGGCCCGTTGTAACTACTTTATGCCTCTGTTGTAAATGCCAGTCTTTACTGGTTCCTCAGTGAAGACAGGAGGCAGTACCAAAGATAAATGACAATGAATGTCAGAATTTGTCTAGTCTGGTTGGTTACCGTAGGTTTGACATGTCAATGACAATTGATGGGCATCGACAAACCTGCATACAAGAATAGAATAAAGCCAGTATTCAAACAGGACATCTCAGAAAGTGTTGATTGATGCAAATATTTGATTCTGTTGCATGTTTTTAATGTTTTGTGAGTGTAAAAGCATTTTGCAAACAAAATGTGTCATTTCCAGACTTTCACTTTAGGCCTGTGCAAGAACTGTTTCGACAATATAACTTCTGAGCAGAAAAATCTCAGCAACTGAGAAAAACTGTAAACAACCATTTTCATGTTTCTGCGACACCCCCTGCTGTTTAACCTCAATCATCTCATCACGTTAACAGGATTCTCCAAGATAATACCAAACATCTCACAAAGCGTTAAAGGGTTTTCTTCATATTTCCAGTAGTACATGAAGGGTCCTTTGGTTCCCTGCGTCCACCGCCAGAGGTCGCTATACTCCAGTGTTAAAACGATAAATGACGAGCAGAGATACTGGGCATTAAGGTACCCTGAGAGCTCTGACAGTCAGGGTGCCATTGCTGTCTATGCTCATGCTCACAGATGTGGGGTCCACACTGGATGGCAGTTTGCACTGGTGGGAAAATGTGTTTGTGACTGTGCCGTCTTCTCCCAGCTGCATGACAAAAGCAGAAGATATGATATGATTGTAAATTTTACATTATGTCTCTTGAATTTTGCACCATATTTATCCTTATGCACCAAAACACCAAGAAAAATTCAATGTATGTGCAAACCTACTGGGCAATAAAACTGTTTCTGATCCTTAATAACTCGAATTTACGGCTTTAACTTTGACATGTTCTGTAATCTAGCTTCAGTTATCTGTCAGATTCAAGCCATTACTATACATTGAATACTCAAGTTAATTCATTTCTGTGTTGCTCTCTGTATTCATGTAGGCTGCAAAGAATAATCTACTGCCAAAATTTAAAAATACTTCTATCAAATGACTTAATATATGATTTATCTGAAGTCCAGTAATCAACCAGCAGACCTCTTCACTGTTTTGGGGGTTACTATTACAGCTTTCCTTCATGGCTCACCTTCTCAGCATGCACCTCTATCAGGTTGTTGGAAGATGTAATGATAACATCCTCCGGAGGAAATTCACTCACATCCACTGTGAACTGGAATATGTCTCCGATGATTTGGATCTTCCCCGTAGGATATGAGTGGCCTGAAACAGAAACCACAGCTCGTAAATCTGGATGACTGCATGACACACACTGAAAGACCAGTCATCGGCTCACTAACATTCACTGATTTGACTAAAAATCAGGTGAAACATGCTGCACAAAATAGAAAAAACAGCATGTATCTATCAGTCTTTGTTTATCTGACCTGTGAATTTGCTTTCTCTACAGGTCTGCTGAGGTCGTGATGCTGAATCTTCAGAGAAAATACCTCGACCTTTCTCCATGCAGGCTGAGGAAGAGGACCGACTGTATCTACTGCATGGATCCAAGAGAGGTCATTCTAATCTTCTCTGGGTCTGATGAAAGTGTCCTTATAGCCTATATATGAGACCTTTATAGTCTACTGTGTGTCACCAGTGTGTGTGTGTGTGTGTGTGTGTCTCAGTGATTCAGCTGCACTGGAACATGACACGCATTGCAGATATTCAGTATGTCAGAACGGTTGTTGAACTGTTGTCAAACGCTCCAAAATTTTTAGCCGCACCCTGGCCTGGGACCACATGAGTCTTTGTGTTTGTGTGAGAAAGGGTGTGGAGCTGTTTCTGTGTAAAGTAATAAGCTATAATTATCAGGTGTGATATTAAATGGACTGTCATTCACAACTTTGAGACAATAGAAGTGACAAAAGATGAAAAAAGTAGCTTTTAAATTCAGTTTGTAAAGTAAATGAGATTTTTAAGGCTGGGTATAGCCTTGGGATTTGTCACAGAAATGACAATGTGCCAGTGAGTTTCCAGTGAAAACCTTCCAGAGGGGTGTCTCAACATGTCTGAGTGACGGTGATATGATGGAGCACAGTTGTGTGTAGGTGTGACATTCTGCTTCGCCGTGGCAAAGTCACCGAGGTTGGTCAACTCCATCTGGATGACATGCGTCACCAAAACAAGCTCTGCAAGGCTGGAGGAGTGCCTCATGAAAAGAAAACCAAACTGATAAAAGATAAAAGATGAGGTCTGAAATCTTTGATGATGACGATGAAGTAAACGTACTAACTGGCCAGAGGTGGTGTCAGAAGAAAGGCCTTTAGCAGCATGGAAGAAGAGTTCGTCATGTTTTAAACAGGGAAGTGTTCAGAGCTATGTGTGGCAGTATTACATAGTTTGTATTAGGATGGTGTGAGCACAGAGATCATCATATTAGTTCACTTGTGAGATTTCATTTTATCACATCTAGTGTCGGGTGAGTAAAGATGTGAAAAGTGAGCTAGAAAGATATAAGGAATAGTTTTTTCTGTAAAGGGCAAGCACATATAAATAATTTGGGAAATTGATAAACTGCTATTTTCTAATGTATTTAGGCTAAAATAACACTTTTTTTGTCAATTCATTATTTTTCAACAAGAACATATAAAATTATCCTTAAAAAAATTTCTCAAACAAAATCACTCCAAAGCATGATAAACATGAAAAAACAACACATACCTCCTGTCTTTGACAACATACGCTGTCATTTTGGATTTTGATACAAATAATCAGTATATTTTTGAATGATGGGGGGGGTTAGTGAGTCAGCAACTGTCACTCAGGGCTCACATTTACTGTGTGGTACAGTCAGTGAACGAATCACTGAACATGCACTGTTTTCTCACAGTGAAAAGAGTGAGTCACTGAATCCCTCACAGCTCAACTGGACTCAGAATTGAGTGGATCACTTCAGGAAGTGATTCAGTTGAGTTTATTCATTCAAAAGATTTGTTCTATTGAATGAAGCAATCTCCTGAGACACAACACTATATGCCAATAGTTGCTCATAAGCACAAAGTACAGCTGAGGCTGATGGGAATGTCAGCAGTTTTCAAAGTATCTAGTCATAAACCAAACTAGTATACACCCATTTCAATGGTATTGCATTGCTAGGCAACAGCTTGGGTCAGTGTTTACTTCCTGTCAGCTGACGCCATTCAAGCAAAACATTCCAACAGGAAATACAAAAGGACCCATTTAGAGTGTTTATGTTGTCAAGTGTAAAACAGTCTATAGCAGTGGTTACCAACTAGTCCAGCCACGGGGTCCAGATTTCTTCTTAGTCATTAGTTTCAGGTCCACACAGTTCAATATTTTCAGTGTCATACTTTTGTTTGGCCATGTTGTCAACTTGTTTGCTGTGTCTGTCAGGGATCTCTCCTTTAGTCACTCACTCTACAACAGAAAATGGCACTTCAAAATAAAAGCTCTGTGCCGGAAATTCACTGTACTTCAAGATAAAGTGTGTTTTTTACAAACTTGTCGAGTTTGAGTCACTTGTGGTCCACTCAGAGTGAACCTGCAACCCACTTTTGGACCGTGACCGACCAGTTCACCAAGCAGAAATGTCAAACTGCTGGTGGTGCTAGAGGAAAAGTCAGGGGATCACCAAAGGGTTTATCCTCTGGGGAACCAAACTGACTGTCCCAAAGTTCACTGCAATTCAGTTGTACAGTAGTAAGAGATCTCAGTCTGGAGCAACTGAGAAACAAATACACGTTGACTACTGAGTACAAGAAAGTGATCCAGTCACAAGGAAACACTGATTTTATTTATATCCGCCTGGCAAATATGTGCCAGATCAGAGTTGTTGCTTTTTTTCTCATGTAACAAATGACATAAATACAAAATAAAATAAATATTAAATAAAACTGAACAGTTGTATTAGGACATGATGTAAACACACAAAAGACTTGAGGAAGATGCGTAATGTGATACAAAGATTAACCACAAAACATAAGAATGTGTGATTCTTTGCCCTGAGTGGAATAATCATTCCAGATTTAAAACTCATTGATCATAAAAATAACAAACAGATTTAAGGATCCAGAAACTCTGGCAGGATAAAGCGAGTGCTTGGAAGAAAACATGCCCTTAATCATAAAGAGCATTAAATATTTCAGTCATACAGTGAATACAAACCAGGCACTCTCACATTGTCTCACATTTTGCACTTACTTTTATCTTTTTTTAACTACATTACATATTTTTATGTTCAACATATAAAACATTTTTACATAAAGATAAATTATTTGTCTTCTGTTATCATAAAGTACATAAGTGTTTTTGATCTCAGTCCTTTCTGAGTGGCTTGGAGGGTCCTCTTCAGTCACACCACGAAAAGAAAAAAACAAAACTGCAGCGTAGCTCAGTTTCACCCCCCCCACCCTTGAGTCCTCCTTGTCCGTGAGTGAAATGGCATGGTCGGTCAGTGCACTTTGATTTGTAGGAATGCTTAGATCACACTGCAAACACGCTGAGGGAGCTGGTCTCGTCTTTCAGACCCAGGATGCTGTATGCTATCCTCTTCATGTGACCGGGCAATCGCACGCCAATATTCCTGATGTCTCTGAAAGGACAAGATAAATGATAAAGTTTTGAGTGTGCTGAAAACAATATGGACACCATTTTGCATAGAGTGACCACAGCATAAAGAAGGAACTACACACTTAACAACAATATCCATATACTGCAGATAAAAGCAATGCATAAATAGCTTAAAGTAATGAATTAACAATTTAAATAGAGACCTAAAAGTAATGGATAAATTGTTGAAATATCTGACAGGGCTGTGGGGGTACATCTGATTAAAAAAAACAGCTACACTGCTGTAGAAGTTATGGCAGTATGAGAGGAATGACATGGGCAGAGGCGCAGTGGAGTATTTCTGCACCCACAAGTTGGATAACAAATGTTCAAGAGCCGAGAGCTCAATACTTTCTCTGTGTTCCTACAGAACGTGGCCCGGTGCCAGATAAATCAGCAGATCTGCACCTGTGCCATGTGTGCACTTACTCATGCCTCAAGGCGAGCACCTGCTCCATGGTCGTGAACCCGGCGCGGGCAAAGCTTTCGTTGTACTGGCTCATTTTGATGGACTCCAGCCACTCAGGCACAGACCGGAACATGGTACCGTCACAGCCGCTGGTGCTAGGCAGGCGGATGGACACGCTGCAGGGACAACGTATATTTGGATTACTAATCGTTTACTGCGACAGTGTGTACACTGAGTGCATGTGATGGTGTTTGAGCAAGGAGGAACCAGTTTTACTCTCAATATACTGCAGACAGTTTCAAGGGATGTTTCGATTACTGATCGTCTTCTTACGGCAAAAACCTTTTTCATATATTAATTCTAATAACTTAATTTAGCAGTTTTCTTTGAGTCAAACCCACACAAGTGTGTCTAAGTTTAGCGAAAAGAATAGTTCAACTTTTCACATACAGTCACAGGCACATGATCCCTTTTACTAAACCTGTTTCCTAAAAGGTCAAACTATTCCTTAAATACACATAATTGTGCATCTTTGCTTACATAATTTTTTTATCCAGTGGGCATCAGACTGTCCGTGCCATGTGTTTGTTTCTTCTAAAAATCTTTTACTTGCGGCTCCAGTTGGACTTGGAAAGGCACAGTTTGGGATAGCTCTTGCAGGCTTCCTTAGTGCAGCCAAGATCATACAAAGTAGAGTAAAAAAAAACAACCACACCTCACTATAAAGACTGGATCGTGACTGTTGCAGCCTCACATGAGTTAATACTAGCCAAACTGAAAGATTCAGAGTCGAAATTCACCAAAATGTGGGGGAGCTTCCTCAGATTTATTAATGTGGGGATCATTGGAGAGCAATATGTAAAAGACAGCGCTCATGTGTGTCATGTAAGGTGCTGTGTGCTGTGGTGAGGAGGAGATGATGTCACCTATCCTGCTGTGCTGTTGTGTTTGCCTTTAGTCTCGTTTTTGTTGTCTGTCTGTGTTTGCGTACTTTGTTACCTGCAGATTACCACGTCAAAATGTGTTTTGTTATGTAATGTTGCAGGATGTTTGAGAAAAAAATAATTTGTCTCTCACTTTGTCACCAAATCATAAACTTCAATAAAACATAATTGCTCATACCGTGGATCAAAGTCAGCGATGGTTTTCAAAGACTCTGGGCTTCGCAGCAGTTTGTCCAAGATGTTGACGATGTCCGAGAAGCGAGGTCGTTTGGAGCGGTCGTGCTGCCAACACTGGAGCATGAGCTGGTAGATAGCGGATGGACAGTCCATCGGAGCAGGAAGCCTGAAGGCCTCGTTGATAGCCTTCATGACCTGAGGAAGAGTGAAGGCAGCGCTTAGATCTAAAGTTTATTTATGAGCGTGGTGACAGACGGTCTGAAAAAGTGCTGCGTTCATATGTTGACATGAATAGAGCATTTGAAGGGGACGTTGGGAAACTACTCTGGCTGTCAGGCAACTTTCAGCACACACTGTCAGCGGTCATACACATTAAAGTTTGACCTACGCAGGCCAAAACAATCCTTCATGTTAAC